CAGCCCTTAATTTTGGGGTGTATCGACTAATGAACCCCGCATTATTAGCTAGATGTACCACATTACACACTTGCTAAATTATTAGCAGAAAATAAGACATCATTAGAGTCATTGGTAGCACGTATGGGACACGCTCAAATATGGTAGCTCTTATAAATATATCCTAATTGGTTGGTGATTATTCTTGTATAAGTGGGCTGGAATAAATTCTGTAGCTAAGGGTTTTTAGCCCTCGATAGATATAAGAAATAGAGTGGAAGTCTCCCTATTTCTTGAATCTGAAATAGAGTGGAAGTCTCCCTATTTCTTGAATCTTGGATTTCTTCATTTGTGATGGAAAAAAAAGGAGAAAACAAGAATACAAGTTTTATTAAAGAAAATGTTTCATTTACTCATGTCATGCTAACAGAGAGAATGACCAAATATATAGGCCTTACACCAACTTAAACTCCTAGAAATCAGCAACAAAATGCTAACAGAGAGAATGACCAAATATATAGGCCTTACACCAACTTAAACTCCTAGAAATCAGCAACAAACAATTCAAAAAACACATGCTCCTAGAAATCAGCAACAAACAATTCAAAAAACACATGACAATTGACTAAGTAAACAACTAAACCACTAGTAACATACAATCCTGAAAAATAGGAAACAACCTAATAACTAATTTTGAATCAGTTATTCAACAATTTGTACTCCAAAACTCATCCATGATCATTCCAAATTAGGATTTCGTCTGTTTAGAAAATTTGTGAAATTTCTGTTTGATTTGGTTATGTAGGGTCCTGTTTTGCTTATGTATACCAAGTGTAGGATCGTGACCCTTAAGAATAGAGTACGCTCTTATAAAAATCTGCGAAAGCTTTACACTTAAACACTAGAGGGTGAGTTTGCAAAGTATATTATAAATTGTAAAGAAAGAATGACAATCTCAGAAAATGAACATCACAAACACAAGCATGTATACTGGTTCCACCTCCCCGGTGTACATCCAGTCCCCAAGCAAATCCCACTTGAGATTTCCACTATGATTTTGAAACCTTACAAAATCAAAAGCAAACCTGACCAATTTACAAGACCATGCAAATTGCAACACCAATTGACAAGACCATGTTAATTACCACCTAATCTCTAAATCAAGAGATCAACCCTCTCAAACCCGAGAGAAATCTTTTTTGAAGCAAGAACACAATTGATCCTATAAGCCTTGAATGTGTAGTGAAGTGCTGCACTGGCTTAGGATTCTTTTAACTCTCTGAATATTGCCTATACAATCTCTAAGAATGATTAAAACCAAGACAATATCAGAAACTCTCTTTTTCTAAACACTTAGCATGAAAATCTGGAAAATTAGAGAGTGAATATGAAGCTCTAAGAATGATAGGAACAAAGGCAATATCAGAAACTCTCTTTTATAGAAAAACAGATTGAAAAACTGAAAGTTTTGAAGTGAATATGCACAAAATGTTTGATCTTACAAGTGCAAAACTTGGTGCTTATTTTCTGATGTTTAAACATATTTATAGCCTCTGAAATGACATAATTTTAAACCCAATTAACGTCCACAAAACGGCTATAAACAGTAACTTATTCAAAACCTGAAATCTGGAAAAACTACATCTGTAGTCGACTACAAGTCATAGTAGTCGACTACACTGAGTCTAAACAGACTCTGTGAAGTCAGAAAATTACTTAGTAGTCGACTACAAGGCATAGTAGTCGACTACACTATAAACTCACAGATTCTGGAATTTTTATTTGAGTATTTTGACCGTAACTTTCTCATCCGATATCGGAATGAGGTGGTTTAAGATTTGTTGGAAAGCTCTTGAAGAGACCTACAACTTTGGTCTTTTGAGTTTTTCCAGATTCTAATTGCTAAGTGGTGTAAATAAAATATTTTAAGACTCACCCAATATTTATAAAGTCTAATGGCTAACATAGGGGATTTCTATTGTTAACCAACACACTAAGCATGTGTTAGTGTGTTCTAACACTATGTGTGTATATGTGTGTGAGTGATCAATGCTTGTACAAATTTCTAAGCAAAGAAAATATAAAATTACATCTTAACAATAAAGTATATCTTTTTCTTTGCTTCATTTTGCCTTGAACTCATCTATGTCTTGAGTATCTCTTTGAATATAATTATTGATATAGCTCTGATACTGCAAAACAAATGTTAGCACATAATACACACAACAAATAATATTTGTTATTATCAAGACAAACTAATGTTTGCGTCAAAAGTTGGTTTTGTTATGGAATTCATTATATCTTCGGTCGATTACAACAAATTCAAAAGAGATAGTCTTTTTATAAGACTTCTTTTACACAACAAAAGAAAAATTATAACTTTTTAGAAACAAACGCAGGATCGTTGTTTGGATCGCTGCTTGCGTGGGATCTTTGCCTGTGCCGGGAGCGCTTTGACTCGTGGACCACCAAATCACAGATTCTGATTGAACCGTGAGGGGTTTAATGATTCTTCCTTCGTTTATCGAAGTAAGAATTTGAAGCGAATATCTTATCGATGTAAGATGTTCACTCTTCCAAAGATCAAGTCTGAGCTTAGATCTCTAGGACTCGCTAGAAGCTTCTTGAGGATGTTTGTGAAGAAGGAAGACTCTCTCTCTTGCTCTAATTCACCAAAACTCAAGGCTCTCTGCTCTAATCTCTCTGGAAAATGCTCAGCCCCTGTCCATGATGACCATAGGGGGGTATTTATAGCCTCCTTAGACAATAACTGAAGAAATAGCCGATCAACAACTGCCTCTTTAGGCGCTGCAGTCTACACTGCCGCGGCTATTGGCGCGGCAGTATAGGCTGCCGCGGCCAAAGGGACGGTTATCAGCACGTTCCATCGTGCTTAAAACCGTTCTCCCACGACCTTTAACCACTTTTTTCGTGATTTAACTGTTTGTCCACGTCAGCACACGTTTTATTTCTGATATGCTGCCACATAGGCCTCAAAAAATCATCATATAACTGCCTTGTAACCGTCACAACACTCCTTTAACATAGCCGCGGCACCCTAGGTTGCAGCGCCTAAGCCGCGACACAACAAGCTGCCGCGCCTTAGCCGCGGCACTATGTGCTGTCGCTCCTTAGCCGCGGCACTATGTGCTGTCGCGCCTTAGCCGCGACGCCATGGGCTGCCGCGCCACCTTGTGTTGCCTGATGACGTGTAAATTGTTCTCCCATATTGTTTTGAGTGGTATTTGGATGCCTGCAAGCATTTTTCGACGCCTACAACTAATCTTGGGGTCAAGATTCCTAACAGGTTATACTCATTTGATAATGTTAAGATACACACCAATAAGAATGCCTCGAACGGAGACGCAATACACAGAATAAACGCACAAAATCAATCACAGTACTCACAAATATACATGGTTCACTCATTCGGAGCTACTCCACGGTGCAACGACGACGTCCAGTTCTTTTATATTCCAAAAGAAGTGGATCAAAGAGAACACTCTCTCTTGATCAAGATACACTCCAAGAACTCTCACAAACTCTCTCTATGTTTCTCTCTTACTCTTCTATGAGAGGAGTTGTTTCTGGGATGAATTTTCTTAAAGAGTTTAGGCCATACACAAATAAAATATTATTAGTGGGACCCGCCACTTAATAATAATTTATTATGAGACCCACATCCTTTTTTCTTTTCTCAACAAAAGCGGTCACCGATTCTCTCTTTGTCAAATAAAGTGGTTGGGGTTGGCTAGGGCGGCTGACAGATAACATATTAGATGATGTAAGTTTTTAACTTGGGCATGCTGACATTATCGATTTTACTTTAAATCACTATTATTTCGTGGATTTGTGTGTGAGTATATTCCGTATTGAAAGAAATGAACTTTAGTTTTTTGGTTATATTGGTGGATGAAATTTAGTACTTCATCTTACTTCCAAGATGTATTTGTCAACCCTCATCAATGGGCGGCTAGTTTGTTAGAGATTCATATTAGAGTATAATCCTGTATCAGAGGGGAAGAAGACAATAAACTGATCAAATATTACCAGGATTTTTCAACTTGTAATCATGTAAGACACAAGAAATGCTTTCATTTGTTATGTAACTAACTTCTCAGCTGATTGAGCATGATACTTAGCGTTAGATAAATGAGCTACTGATTCTTTCTGTTATTAAGTGAACAAACCATGAATTGCTACAGTGAAGATCGGTACGTACTGACATGAAAGTGTTTCAGTATAATTAACTACAAGTAACTATCACAAGTCCAAGCATTCTGCAATGAGATTGCAGTTTCAAACTTAGCATGTACTCAATATCAAGTTGTAGTGATTCCTTTTCTTTCCGTGGAAACTGCTCTTTTTTTATTCTATATAGTAGCACTAAAAGGTCAATGAATTTTGTGAGCATTATTTTATATTACATCTTTCATTTGGAAAACTGAGACATTCATTTTTTAGGAATTAATTGCATCATATTCTAAAGAATCTGATAATTCACTTGAGTGCTTTTGCGATCTTCACCCACTAGAACTCATGGGAAGTACATACACAATTGGTTCCAGCCACATCTATATGCCTGTTTAATTAGTTAAAGAAAGTGCTTGATGCTGCTATAAATGGCCAGAACATTCTGCAATTGTAACTGTTGAATATTGGAATTTCAGGGGATCAAAGATATTTTCTTCGTTCATCAAGTTCTTGAAAAGCAAGGATCCTAATGATGGGTCAGAGCAGGCGTTGGTTGATGAACTGAGTTCCCTAGACCAACACCTCAAAGACAATGTATGCACCAAATTTTTTAATGTTCTAACCTGTTCTCGAACTTTAAACTGGTTTTCTAGATGGACTACCTAACCCTTACTCTAAATCAAAACCCTCGAAAACAAGATTGTCTTATATAACACTAAATTATCTCCTATTGGCAGGGACCATTTATTAATGGAGAAGCTATTTCTGCTGCTGATTTAAGTCTGGCACCAAAGTTGTTCCATCTTGAGACTTGCCTTTCCCACTTCAAAGGTTGGAATGTCCCAGAAAACTTGACTCATGTTCATGCATACATGAAGGTATGCATTTTCTTCATGCTGCTAACTTCAGTAGCATATACTGTCTAATTTTCTGATATTTGTTAAATTTTTGGTCAAGTATTCAGATAAAAGTTATTGTTTTAAACTTTTAATATGCGGAACCCTTCTTTAAGGCCTTTTCTAATTGTCTATGTCGGTGGCGTTATTTAGATAAAGCCGATACAGTATAGTTATTAGGGTAGCAGAAAGTACTATTTAGTTAAGCCTCTATTTTCTTTGTTAAGTGTTTTAGTCCCACATTGTGTACACTGGCAATCTTGAACTATTTCTCTATCTATATAATAAAGGGGCATAGAGTATTATTAAGTCAAGTCTCTATTTTCTTTGTTAAGTGTTTTACTCCGCATCGAGTACACTTGTAATCTTAAACTATTTCTCTATCTATATAATAAAGGGGGTTGGCCCACAATGGGATCAAGTCAATTTTTCTAACTTAACAATAGCAATGAAGATTCCTGTTGGATTGTTGTAAATAACGTCATGTCTTCTCTTGGTCTCTAAGCTCTCTGTCCAGACTCTACTGTTCATAGAGTTAAATGTCAATTATTTAAGAGGCTAGACCTGCTGTATATAAAGTTTTAGAAATCCGTGCAATCAGTTGCATACCTCCAAACAGTTGTAACAAAGAATTCTTAACTTTAAACTCCATAACTATAGGAAGTATACTATCTGTTACCATACTACATATTCTTCTTAGATCTGAGCCCTTCACCTGTTACCGTTTTGGATACTGTGGCTGTTTTATATACCAACAACAAAACTTTTTTCCCAAAATTTTGGGGCTGGCTGTTTCAGTTCATACAAAAGTTAAAGCTAAGGATATAATTAACCATGCCCTGCGCCCATACTTTCCCTTGTTTACTTAAAATCATAAGCTCATAACTTCATTACACATTCATGTAAGAACATCTTAATCAAGATTGATATTGTGAGGGCAATAGAAAAAACTCTTAACTTCCATTGCTCAGCTTGCCATCCAAAAATAAAACAAAACATGAATTTGCAAAGGCTAAAATTGCATTAAAATGCCCTAGAGTTTCACTAGTCTTGCACTTAAGTGACTCCTACTTTAGAACTGAGCAAAAAAATGCCCCAAAATATTTAAGTGTTGTAGGTGAATCCCCTATAGTTGGAAAAATCCAGGCGGTGTTAACTTTTCTTTACGATCCAAGAATATCACATAACAGAGTGTACTAAACTGAAACTATTAGCAACTTTAGGGTATTTAAGTGAAGTTATTTACAAACTGAAGGTATTTATAAGCAACATTAGGAAAACTAGAAAGCATCAGAGTGCAACATTAGGTAAACAAGAGGGCAACTATACGTGTCCTGATGAAACAAATGCTATGCATATGAGACCATTATTCTGGTCGATGGCTAAACACAATATATCCTTCAATGCTATCCTTCTGATGTGGCATACAGAGGGGGAACAAAGAGGGCAACTATATGGCATTTAAGTGCAATTTAGCCATTTGCAAAAGAAAAACTAGTAGCTTATAAGTATTTGCTTTTTGGATTTTGCGCAGCTGCTTTTTGAACAGGAATCTTTCAAGAAGACCAAAGCTGAGAAGCAGTACGTGATTGCTGGATGGGAACCCAAAGTGAATGCTTGACGTTCTAGTGAGGAACTGAAATAGTTATGTAGAAGTTGCTGCGAGCTTTCCTTGTTCTTAGATGTGTGTGAATTATCGTGTCATCAGAGAACAGAATGATCTGGCTATAATAAATATGTTCTGTCTAAAAACTGTCCCGTGGTGATATCAATCTCATTCTGATGTACATTGACTTCAACATGAATAAATTATTTTTATGCGTAGTTGTATATTCCAGACCCACTTAGGGTTATAACTAATGATGTTTGAACAAGCAAACCCTCATCATTCGCTATACACGGGGACGAAAAAAATATGTGTCACTAAGTTTTAGCCTGTATGTGTGTGCATATTATGTGTATGCCGACATCTACATCCACATAATATATAACATATGTGCGTATATACACATCATTACATGCATACATAATTACATGTAAACTTGAACATATACGTTCATGCATGCAGAGAAATACATGAACATATTCAGATGAAGCTTTAAAACAATGCATAAGCCAATGTTTTTTCCTCGAAAAAAGTTTGCATGAAACACCTAAGCTTTTCAACCTTTGAAAAAAAAGAGGAGATAAAGATGTGTCAGAGTTTAAATGAGTCTCAAAGAGATGAGCGTGTGTGTATTGTTGAACATGAATAGACATGCCAATTTGCTAAGCAGAATATCTATAGCTTCCAACAACTTTATGACATCCGGAAGTTCGGCAATGAGGACCAAGATATGTGCCATTCTCATAGTGACTGAGTTGGACACAAGCAGTATGTCTCGAATTTAGAAAGGTAGGAACTTTTCGTTGAAAATTACTTTACATTTTCTTTGCATTGAAACATTATTTAATTATGATTTCAGGTATACTTATCTGACGTTAGATATCAGGCACACTTATTTGATTTCTTTTATTGTTATCTGTTTCTGTTCCTGCTTCTGTACCTCCCCTCTTGAGAACTTGATAGAGTGGTGCGTAGCAATCAGATAGTCATTTGAAAGCAGTTTGAACTCTACTGACACATTCTGCCATGCTAGTGTAAATATCATGAAGTGCTGGTGAATCACAAGGATTAATTGGAAGAACTTGCAAATCTAAAGGTGGAAATGCACGTTAGAATTTCTCCTGTAACCATTCAAGTAGCTTGCTAAGAAGGTAGAATGAACATTAATGAAGGTAAACCGCAATAGCCTATGGGCTTCATAATATCTGTTTCAATAATGCCTACTCATAGAAGAAGTCTCCAGGAGTTGCTGCATCAGTTTGATTGTAGTGGTTAATAAATTGGTCTCCCTTTCTTCCTAGGTTCAAGTAAACCAATATGTAGGATCCCCAACTCTGGCCTTCATGTTCACCATATTGGAAATTTTGGTGTACACAGCACACTGAGGACCAGAGGTCATGAATACTAGCACAAGCTAGTGCCTACTACGCAGTAATGAGGATGACTGTCGTGTGATAAATTACAAGCAAAACATGAATAGAAGAGTTTCCCTTAACAAAGTTGGATGATGGAGAGGAACATGTACCCAGTCCCAAAATGTTTAGATAAACGTTTGTCTTTTTTTTTTTTTTTTGTTCGATGTTATTGCTTTGCCAGTAGAAAATTTCTTTTAGCTCTTTATAGAGAGCTTATATTTAGGATAAGAGAGGTGTTTAAACTTTAAATATATTTTCTTGTACTTATATATGATGTTTTTTGTAAGAAGAACCTAGCATATGAGATAAAAATATTTTTCATATTGTTTTTCTTGGCAACCCTTGTTCAGGAACAGGTTCACTAGCTTACACAATCACTAATTCATCCATAATATGATACCTATATAGTGTACACTTGCAGAAATGCGCACAAACCTACCATATATTCATGCACACGCGCGCGCATGCGTACACACAAAATTCGTCCAACCCCGGCATAGCTGTAACATCCTGAAGTTCTTTGTAACGTTGTAAAGTTGCTTAGCTCTTTGCACAGTTTCACACGCACGACGCGCGCGCGCACATCCTCTTGATGCTTCTGACTTTAAGCGCATCTCATTGCATGTAGTGTTTATGCAAATCAGATTCATCTACTAACCTATGACATCAAATGCTTCGTATGGCAGTCCCTTCTAACAACATGATTATAACGAATCTGATGTATTCATCGATTCCAACCGTTATCGTTAACATCATCAATAAGAGAGCATGTAATCAGCTGAACTTCTTGGATTGGTATTTTGGCCTCTCTAGTTGAGTTATGGATCTGAAACATGAGAACTATCAGCCAACTTACAGTTTTGGCCTTTTCTCTTACTTTTGATGGCTGCCCATCCACCTGCCTCATATTCTGTACTATGATACCACCCTTATCCTTCTTGTTGCTTTCGAAACCATGCATTCTTCAGTGGAATGTAGCTCTCTTACAATAAGAGCCTCTCCACAACAAAAGTTTACTACTCGTTTCTTAAGGGTGATGATGAAGGCCTCCCAATTATCAAAAGAATCCAAACCTTGCCACTATTCCTTCACCTGTCACGGATACCAATGATGCCATTTAGTATGAGCTATCCACTCTCAACCATAGATAATTAAAGAGTCAGGTATTCTAACTTATCGGGCTACTAACTAGAGCCACATAGAAACTGAGCGATGATGATGAAAATAGGTACTTGGTCCATTTTCTAGTTGTTGAGTTTGAGCTAGTGTAAGATAGGAAAGGAGTTTTGGTTAATTGTTAATGATGATTATATGAAAAGATCTTTTAGTTTGATGCATATAGCCTAAGTGATCAGTACCGCAATACAAAAAGTTGTCAGTTTCAGCAGTGCTGAAGATTGATTATTGATTTCTTACCTTTTGGCATCTTCAAATGATAAGAATGAAAAGGAATGTCACTTGCCAGAACTGCTTAAACATAGAAGATGGCATTGGAGGGTAAATCTTCTGAGTTAAATTTTTAAGGCTGGTTCAAATATTTTATCACTGTTCTTGTTTCACAATGGACTAGGATTGCTAAAGAAATGCTCCAACCTTTTTTTTTTCCTTCTTTTTTACGAGGGAAACCTTGGTCGGGGGAGCTATAACCAGACTACATTTAGATCTAAAGGGGTGAAACAGAGTTTAGCAAGTACAATTAGATGTGGGTATTTAGTTGCATTCATTTTCCCTTGCAGGTTTGGTAATTTAATCAATTTTCATTGAAATGTCGCAAGCATGGCGCTTCTATAAATGGAGCATCACACCTTCTTTTGTCTGTAAAGAGAAGATACACAACAGAAAACTGTAAAATAGCGTGCTTCTCTCAAAATTGATCGCCGTATCATCTTGGGTGCTCTTCATGCTTCTTTATGAATATGCAGTTGAAGCTCTTTTAATAGGCAATTTTTGGCAGGGAACTAGAGTTTTGAATGAGTCTTATTGTTAATATTGTTGTTGTTGTGTATTGTCAACCCTGTATGCTAAACTTAAAAACCTCCGACAGGATTCATTTACCTTGATTAGATATGTTGTTCAATATAGTTCTTGCAATGTTACTAAATTATAAAAGTATCCTTATAACTTTTGTTATTATCAAGCTTATAGAAAGTGCTAGGCGGTCCAGACATTCAACCTGGTGCCTAGGAATTTTCCTTTTTATTAATTTTTTAATTATAATCAATGATATCGAAAGCACTAACACCTAGGTTTCGCTAACACCTATGCACTACTTTCAAGAGAATTTCTTTCTTTTTTTAGGTGGTGATGGAGGTTTTGCTAAAAGTAATAGGAGTTAAAAGGAGGTGTTTGCAGTCAGTGGAAGCGTCCGGAGGAGTTTAGAGGTTATTAGAGGAAGTGGAGGCAATAACGAGGAAATCACAACGAAGACCTAAGTGGTGCAATCCTCGTAAGCGGACTCTGCTCCCCTATGCACTCGAAAGACCTAATCAATGATATCGAAAGCACTAACACCTAGGTTTCGCTAACACCTACGCACTACTCTCAAGAGAATTTCTTTTTTTTAGGTGGTGATGGAGGTTTTGCTAAAAGTAAGAGGAGTTAGAGATGGTGTTTGCAGTTAGTGGAAGCGTCTGGAGGAGTTTAGAGGTTATTGGAGGAAGTAGAGGCAGTAACGAGGAAATCACAACGAAGATCTAAGTGGTGCAAACCGTGTAAGCGGATTCTGCTCCCCTATGCACTCCAAAGACCTAAGCAGCGGTCTAGGTTATACCGCCTAGACCTAGACAGCTTAGATGGGAGCTTTTTAAAACATTGGTTACTACTACTATTACATTATAGTATCTCAAAACCTCATCTACATTTTGGATGCAGTTATCCAACTTTTCCCCTTTCCAATGAATTGAAGGCCTCAAGTCACAATATCCCCATCCGTAAAGGACACTACTAGAGATAGGATGGAGTATCCAAACCACTCATTGAGGATTCTGTAATAACAGTTAGTAAAAGTGAAAAAACAAAAGAACTTGAAAAGACGTTATTGATGCTTTGATCAATATGGTGTGCAAATGCCAGAGAGCAAAGCGAGGAGAAATAATTTTTATTACTTAATCCAGTTGTTAAGTTAGATATATAAGTCGATATTAAATCGAAGTGATATAATGGTGCATGCTACTTAATCTAGTCTTTTTCACAGTGGACTAGTGTACATATTAGTCAACAGGCTTTTAATTAGCATGACAATAAAAATGGTGAAGACATGATGATGGTTACATTGAAATGAATCATAAACATAAAGACCTCTCTGCTACTTATCTGCTACAGGTAGGGGTGGTAAAACGAACGAATCGAATTGAATACTGCGATGTTCGCATTTGTACTTGTTCGAATTCCAACACGAATTCAAATATCCATCTCTGTAGCTTTTCGAATTCGAACTCAAATGCTCGGTATTTGATAAATATTCACAAATATTTATAGAATATTAAATTATATTTATTTTGCTAAAAAATTTTATTTTTAGATAGTATTTAAATTTATCAATGAAAAATATTTCTTTGTAGTTATGATGTATGCATATATATATTAAATTCAAATATTTTATTAGAAAACTTACTTAAAATTATTTTAAGTTTCTCAAAATTAGTATATAGAACTTAAGCAGAAAATATAAGTACGTTAAAAATATAAGTACGTTAAAAATAGACTTATATGTGTAATGATACAAATTATAAACGATCAAATTTTAAACGAGTATTTGATAAGCAAACGAATCGAACATACCCCATGTTAAATTTTATTCGTTAATGAACTTGAATACTAAATGTTAATTGTTTAGCGTTAAATGAACTATCATATCGAATATAACCGAATATATAGTTAGTCGAATAATTAGCGAACTATTTGTTAATTATTTGGTTCGTTCTAGCTACATGCTATCAAGAGAATCAAATTCATATAACCAACTGTTACATGCTGGAGGAGAGCAAAGATATGCATGTCATGATCATATGAACATTTCTATGATTTCAACTACACAAAAGCTCAGAGCTGTCAGCATCCTCAACAAGAAGTTAGTAGCAAGCGACCGTTAATTATGTCATCATCAGCAAATAACGCAAGAAAGTAGTAGCACGATTAAGTTAATTACAATGTGCAACGGTACCAGCTAGCAACAAAAATCTATAAACTAACCAAGCTAATAAATACCATAATGCCACCTGTACATTAAAGAACGCAAATCCCCGGTCCCAATCAAATAGAGAGAGACGTACGTGAGTCATACAATCTTATTCGTTGACATGCCCACCCTCGCTATTTCGCTGAAATTACGAGACGTGCCGGCTGAAGAAAATAGAGCTAGCTCAGTCGTTATTGTCGTCGCCGTCGGGATCTCTCGCGGCGGCCTCTTCGAGCATTCTCTGGACCCTCTGCTTCGTCTCCGTTTCTGACGCTCGTTCTGCTCTGTCCCGTGTGTACGCCTCGAAGAACTCCCTGTTCTCCTTCTCGAGCTCTTTCCATACTGATACAAATACGCGACAGAACATTGTAAGTTCATCGATCAAAAGTAGATGACAAGGCATTCTAAGCACGTGACGTATGTAATGATTTAGATTATATAATTAAGTCTTAGTGGCCTGCCTGTGGAAGTGATCACAGGCTTGATGTTTGCATGCTTGTTTAGGGCTTCCATGCACTCCTCCTTGTTCATGTGGAAGAGGAGGCACTTCTCGATCAAGTGTTGCACCTACAAATTAATAAATAAAAAACATGGAAACCTCAAATATATTAAACACACTTGCGCTTAAAATAAGTACAAGTCGATCGCATGAAACAACAATTAATGGAAAAAAATCAGTATTAATTAAGTGACAATTAATTCGTCTTTTAGAAGAGCTACCATTAGCAATGAGGTCTATGATCCTAGGTACTAGTCATGCATACGGCTAGTATAATCTATATATCTCTCAGTAGCTCATTTAAAAAAAAAAAAAAAAGGGCATGCATACGGCTAGTATAATCTATATATCTCTCAGTAGCTCATTTAAAAAAAAAAAAAAAAGTGTGGTAACAAGTCATAACGAGTGACCCCTCACGTACAGGATATAGTAAAAAGATAAATTTAATTATTAAGGATGATTTTTCTAATATCTCACCATTCTGATGTATGAAGCCGAGGACTCACCCATGAGAAAGCTGAAGAATAAAATGAGAGAGAGAGAGAGAGAGGGAAGAAGGGCGGATCAAATGAACAGAGAGCTAGAGAGTATATAGCTAATTGTGAAGATATATGAGGTGATCATAAGGAGCGGGGGGCTTTAATATAAATAGTAGGAGGAGGGAAGAAAAAAATATATAAAAAGAGATGAGGGGGGCCAGGGAGATCACGTGGGAGACGAGAGATCATTGGACGAGACGAGATAGGAGGGAGATTTTGAACGCTAGAATTGAGGGGGAACCGTCGCCTCCTCCTCCTCCGACTTTCTCACTTCCTCTTTTTAACTCTTCGATCAAGGTGGGGCCAGGCACCGCTTATCTTCACGTGACCCGTGGCCCATTCGATCCCCTATAACTCTAATCCTGAGTTTGATCTCGCGTTACGAGTCAAGTAGTGTATGTACGTACAGTCGACTTGATCGGAATTTACTAGCTCTCCTAAAGAATAACAACTAATAGTATTGATCAAGACATGGACACCGGTAACAGTGTTGCTCGTTCCCTAGCTAAGTCGGTTGATTGTTTGTCCTCTTGTTTTTGATATGTTTCTGTCCCTTTTGTTTTTCAGACCGAGTGTTGTTGAGGACTTGGCTGGCTAGGTTACCCTACTTGCCACTGTCAATTCAATTCGAGAGTTTAAATTTCCTAATTTATAATTGAAAAGTACTCGTAGATTACCTAGAAACACACATGTACGTAGTTTCCTACCACAACAATTACCGGCATCCCAGTTACCATCTCCATCATTCAAGTTTTGATGTTCCGATCCTGCTACGTGGATTTGGATCCTCTCCACTACAAAAAAGTAGTGGAGAGACCACTACTTTTAATCTCAAGCGTTGATTATTTAGTAGGCGGTTATGATACAATCTAAATCTAACACTTACTATACCCCCGTGTATTGCACTCATTCCTAATTTGCACTAAAAGAAAAAATCATAACCATCAACTAGATAATCAATGGCTATGATTATGTAGTGGTCCCTCCACTATTTTTTTTGTAGTGGAGAGGATCCGAATCCCTGCTACGTTAGACCCTCTTCAAGTCCATGGCAACTCCATATCTTGTTACCAAACAAACATAACCTAAAAATAAATCAGGATTTGGATCCTCTCCACTATAAAAAAAGTAGTTGAGAGACCACTACTTTTAATATCAATCGTTGATTATTTAGTAAGCGGTTATGATACAATCTAAATTTAACACTTATCATACCCCTGTGTATTGCACTCATTCTTAATTTGCACTAAAAGAAAAAATTACAACCATCAACTAGATAGTTAATGGTTGTGATTATATAGTGGTCAATCCAGATGATCCGAATCAAAAAAACTCACGTACGACAACCAGAAGCAGCTGTTGTGACTGATGCTTTGAGAAACCAAACCAACGAACGCCGAGAGAAAGACCAAACAAAACACAAACACCAAGGTTTTACGTGGTTCGGCAAATTGCCTACGTCCACGGGGCAAGAAGGGGGTGGGTTTTCACTAATAGAGAAGGAGAGTACAAATTGAGATTACAAATCGCTCAAACGAACCAACTAATCTCACCAACAAATCTCTCAATCTCTCAACCAATAACCCTAACAAATAGCTCAGAAAGATCTCTCTTTTTCTGTGCTCCAAAACCCCAAAATTCTCCTCACAAAACCCTCAAATCGTATTGGTATTTATACCAAAACAGAAACCCAAACAGACTGCAAATAGGAACCTGAACTTTCCAAAAAACCCGTCATAAGTCGACTTATCAGTCTGCATAAGTCGACTTGGCAGAGCGAAAAACAGCAACTGGAGAAGAGATCATAAGTCGACTTATCAGACCTGATAAGTCGACTTGGCAGAGCAAAAAACCAACAATCCAGAGCAGAACGTAAGTCGACTCATGCACCAACATAAGTCGACTTACCATAAGTCGACTTATGCCTGTGCATGAGTCGACTTATGACCAAAAATCTGCTTTTTCCAATTCTTCTCCACAATTCTCCACCTCGGCGAAGTTTTCCCAAAACTGAGCCGACACCAACCAAACAAATGCCTCACATGCTGAGACCCAAATGAGAGTGTGAACACTCACCCCAAATGTCGATGTCGCTCACCAAATCGGCTGCATCAAAATGACTGCCTACGTATCCTTTGCCCAAGGAATCAAGCCTTCACGTAGTTCACCCAAACGGCCTCCAAAGGCCCTCAATCAAATAGAAAAGTCTGCAACTCTTCTCCAATATCACCAAACGATCTGCAACTGATAGTATTCCCAATGACCCCAAATTGAGACAAATCAAACACCTCCACCTGAGGTAAACCAATGGCCATATCCAAACTATATCTACCAGCTGCAACTGAATCCAAAACCAATCCATCATCTGCATCCAAAACCAAATGATCTCCAACCTGTGTCACCTTAGCTGGAATCCCAAATGACGCAGTATGATCTGGAGTATGTGGAGTAATCTCCACCCAACGTGGAGTAGCATCACTCTCCACCTGCTGCGATATCCAAATGACCTGATCAACACTCTCCACCTGCCGAGAGTCAAAAGTGACATACCTGCTCAGAACAAAATCAGAAGCTCCCAAACGATAATCAACTGAGCCTCCGAACCCCAAACGCGCAATCGGATCCAATCTCACATCCACGATGTGACCAAATGCTGGGTATCCAAATATCCGACGCGACCCAAAATCTGAAGCAGCTCCACCAGATCTAATAACTCCTAAAGCAGCAGTCGGCGACCTATGCATAAGATGACCCAAATATGTCGAAGCCCGCACACCAATGCCAATGCTCGACATCAAACGCCGATCCTCCTCCAGAAAGGAACGACCCATCGAAACTGTCATCTCATCTCGTCGCCCCAAAGTCTCCACACCAATGAAGTGTCTCCTATTGCCGTGAGCTCGGCACCAACGCAAGAAAGGACCCCTACCAAAGCTGAAACAATGAGTTACCTTTCTGCCAATACACTTCTTCCAATTGTTGTTGACTTCTAGGACTTTACACCAACGGGAACTGGTCGCGACCCAATAATGCCTAGAACAATCACCAACTGTGGAAACCAAGATACGATTACCTCCCAATGATGCCTCCTTGGAAGGCCCCCAAATGCCTGACTGAACACCTCCAAAAAGACCCCTCGCTCGATGGATAGAAGTGCCAAACTCCACCACGGTCTCGCTCATCCTAATGTGCTCACAGGACTTCAATCTGCAGGTCATAGCACTCCTCAACAACCAATGCACGGTATTACCAATCATATACCCCAGCACCAAACAATGCCACAGTCTAGCCGAATCTGATGAAGTCGTCATTTCCCTATCAATCACCGTGCTTCCGTGCAAATAATACAAATTTCTTCTTCTGACGCCCTTCATCACAATCATGGACCCAAATGTAACCTTCAAGCGTGCATCCGCCAAGGTCACCCTATAGCCAGCTGCCTCCAAAGCTCCAAGTGAAATGATGTTCTTCTTCAACTGAGGAACGAACCTCACTCCAACCAACTCCCGAATCACCCCGTCACTCATCCTGATCCGAACAGTACCAATACCACCAATAGAGCATTTGTGATCATTCCCCATGAGCACGAAATCCCCTCTTTCCAACTCCTGAAAGCTGGAGAACCAATCCCTCCTAGGGCAAATGTGGTATGTAGCACCCGAATCCAATATCCACTCTGTAGAGTAGGCAACACAAACTGACGGCAGTGCAGATAACGAGTAGCCCGAAGAATCCGAATCTGAATCGTTGCCACTAGCCTTGACAACATTCGCCTCTGAAGCTTGAATAGCTTTTCCCTTATTCTTCCCGGCTCGATCAACTAACTTTGGGCAATCGGCTTTCCAATGTCCATCTTCTTTGCAAAAGGCACATTGATTCTTACGAACTCCAAGATGTGCCCCTCTAGACTGCGACCTCCCACTACGGTTTGGACCCTTTGCTCTTGCGACCAACGCCCCCGCTACCGGCTCAAACGAAGTCTCCTTATCCTTCTTTCGAAGCTGATAATTCACAAGTGCAGCGGTGACCTCACTATACGAAAGAGATGCCTTCCCATTAATAAGAGTAAGAACGAAGGTCTCATATTCCTCGTCAGGCAAGGAACTCAATAGCAACAACGCCTTGTCCTCATCTTCAATCTTAACATCCACATTCGCCAAATCCGCAAGAAGCTTCGTGTAGTGGTTCATGTGATCACCAATGGAGGTTCCTTTCTTCAACTGGAAGCGGTAAAGCCTCCTCTTCAAATGCAAGCGATTCTCCACACTCTTGGTCAAATACTTGCTCTCAAGGATCTCCCAAATCTTCTTTGCAGAAGTCTCATTGATCACATCATACTTTAGATCTTGAGTGAGACAAGACCTAATCACACCACACGCCGTTCGATTCATCTTTTTCCAAACCTTCTCATCAATGTTGTCCGGTTTCCCGTCCAACTCCAACGTATCTTCCAAATTTTGCGCGTTGAGCGCATCCATGACTTCGCATCGCCAAAGTCCAAAATTGTTTGTGCCATTGAACTTTTCCACATCAATCTTCATTGAGTGGATATTCAAGCTTTGGACGGTCTTCACGCCGGAAGTACTGCCCACAACTCCTTCTTTCTCGGCCATAATCCTCAAGGCACCACCAAACCAATGCGGAAACAAACGAGAAATAGATCCAAACTGAAAAAGACGAGATTTTTACAAAAAAAGATCCCACCTTTATCACCAAACGAAGCCCTAGATGAACTTCCAAAGCGATCTACTCCTCCAAATAGCCCAAGCGTTGCCCGTGCTCTGATACCACTTGTTGTGACTGATGCTTTGAGAAACCAAACCAACGAACGCCGAGAGAAAGACCAAACAAAACACAAACACCAAGGTTTTACGTGGTTCGGCAAATTGCCTACGTCCACGGGGCAAGAAGGGGGTGGGTTTTCACTAATAGAGAAGGAGAGTACAAATTGAGATTACAAATCGCTCAAACGAACCAACTAATCTCACCAACAAATCTCTCAATCTCTCAACCAATAACCCTAACAAATAGCTCAGAAAGATCTCTCTTTTTCTGTGCTCCAAAACCCCAAAATTCTCCTCACAAAACCCTCAAATCGTATTGGTATTTATACCAAAACAGAAACCCAAACAGACTGCAAATAGGAACCTGAACTTTCCAAAAAACCCGTCATAAGTCGACTTATCAGTCTGCATAAGTCGACTTGGCAGAGCGAAAAACAGCAACTGGAGAAGAGATCATAAGTCGACTTATCAGACCTGATAAGTCGACTTGGCAGAGCAAAAAACCAACAATCCAGAGCAGAACGTAAGTCGACTCATGCACCAACATAAGTCGACTTACCATAAGTCGACTTATGCCTGTGCATGAGTCGACTTATGACCAAAAATCTGCTTTTTCCAATTCTTCTCCACAGCAGCGCGCTATACGGTACCGACTTCGCATCAACCAAAATGCCTCATTTCATTACCAAGCACTCAAGCAGGTGATGCTAGCAGTCCTCATGTGCCAGGCTGCCAGCTAGACCCATTTCGTCGCCAAACGGATGGCACCAGCCATCCTGATCACGTGCCAGCGAACGGCCTAGCGCAATTCCGTGCGTTGCGTTTGCAGCTCTTTCTCATTTCACCTCATGAACAAATGACCAGCGTACGTACGTACAAACAGTGAGGAAAAGACGTGGCCCCCTTTGTTTCTCCACGTAACCCTTCACTTTTTTTTTTCCGGAGCTCAACTTAGTTATTATTGACAAGGAAAAATACCCCAGAGACCCAAAAAAATGGACCCCTACGGGACAGGTGAGGTCAGTGGCGGAGCTAGGATTTTAATCCTATAGTGTCCTATAGATGCATCGGTAATGGTGGAAAATACATCTCTCTCAACATAAGCCACCAAACTATCATTAAGCTGAAAAAATTCGAACCCGCGCGCATGCTGGGTTCCTTGAGACCCTTTTCCGCTAAACCATCTATACTTTTGTTATTTTTATATGTGCTCTCTGATAGATATTCAGTTTTTACTGGTGTCCTGAGAACCCAGAGGCACCCATTCAGCTCTGCCCCTGGGTGAGGTGTCAGTTCCTAGGAACGATTTACTGTTTATAAACAGTAAATCGCGCCCCCAGTAACTGACGTCTCACCTGTCCCACGGGGTCCCATCTTTTTAGGACCACTGTAGCAATACCCTATTGACAGTGAATTAAGTGGTATGAGTCGTTACCAAATTAAAAGCTTGGTGTACGAACTGCGTAAAGGTCGCGATCGAACCCTAGGGTTTGGACGTGAAGACATTGAGCAACCTGCCGAGCTCGCCACGTGACCTGGACCCCACACGCTTTCGTCACAAATGCGAAGGAATATTCATAATTATGATAGTGACTCGAGCCGTCATGTTTTTTCTTAACTAGACTACCGATTTGACCAGCGGCGGAGCTATTCAGTAACTAGTGCCGTCACCTGGATTTCCTATCTTATAGATTTTTTTTATTTGTATTTATTGTTTAAGACGCCACTAAGATTAAAAGAAAAATTTCCTAATAAACCAAAATATAGCACCAACATGGAGACAAGTAAGGTGTCCCCCTTAATGATGGCCAACTCATTATGCAATAGGGGGGAGACACCTCATTTGTCCCCCCTGTTGGTCCCATATTTTGAGTCCCCGTAGCTAAGCTCATATTAAAATACAATCATAATAACCGGTACAAAATTGTAGCTCTACCACTGATTCCGATCAGAAATCTCGTAATCAATACAAGTCAAATATCTGTCATAAGTAACAACATAGTTTTATTCCCAAAACTAAAGTTTAGGCCGAAGACTACATTGAATCATTATTTTAGTTTTTTTTTGAACTGAAAAACAGAGACAGAGCCATGCTCATATATTATAACAGCATTAGATATAAGAAGATTACAGAGTAGATACAAAAGGCTATACCCAAAATAAACAAAAAAAAACAAAAAAAAAAACCCAGAAGTTATCATGAGCTACGGGAACAGAGAGAGCATAGGGAGATAAGGAGCGGACCTAGTCGTCACCATTCAACCCCATAGCTCTCTGATGTAACCCAACAACCCTAACTTCCCAACAGTAAACCAGATATATATACAAACATAACTGGAGAATCAACAGATAACTAAATTAAGTATCATTGAGACAAGAGTGTTTCATGAGTTCCAAGGACAAAAGATGGGAGCAAGAGGATATTTCTAGTTAAACCATATATCATCATGTATATATTTCTAGTTATCTTTCAACCAAGTTATCCTTCTTACTGTATTTACTATAATCTTATTCATTCGCACACGTTTAATGATGTTACGAGAGCTCTATTAATCCTAACGGAGAATCCTCCCTCTATTATTAGATTGTCATGTTGTAAACTGTTCATTTTCATAGTTTCCCATCGCTTGATCGATCTCTATGCATATAATTAACAAGGATGTGGTATGAAGATGAAATCTTTCCAGCCAATTGCAAGGCTACACGTCCAGTGCTGGGTGTCGTTGTATTCTAAAGTGCATTCCGTTGTCTGCGAGCCGTGGAGAACAAAGTTGGAAACTTGAAAAATCAAACATCAAGACGATCGATGTCACTGTAGTCTGAAGGCAGCTATCAATTTTGCCCCTCTGCTAAGGAATCTGTCTTCATAGGCGGAGCTGAATGGGTGCCTCTGGGTTCCCAGGACACCAGTAAAAACTGAATATCTACCATATAGCATATATAAAAATAACAAAAATATAGATGGTTTAGCGGAAAAGGGTCTCAAGGAACCCAGCATGCGCGCAGGTTCGAATCTCGCAAGGAACCCAGCATGCGCGCGGGTTCGAATTTTTTTAGCTTAATGATAGTTTGGTGGCTTATGTTGAGAGAGATGTATTTTTAGCTTAATGATAGTTTAGTGGCTTAATTATAGGACACCATATGATTAAAATCCTGACTCCGCCACTGTCTGTCTTGTTTTTTTTTTATATTTAAGAAAAGTAGCTACAGGTCTACACACAGCACAAGGTGCATACACTCATCTACAACATATAGGCCGCCATAATTAGTTAATTCGTTAAATGTTTAGACTCACCACGGGGAGGTTCGGACGGTCGAGAGGTTTCAATACAACTCCTAAGTTCACGAGTTTAATTTCGGGCTAGATTAAAAAAAATTAATAATAATAATTGATTAAATGCTTTAACATCAATAAGAAATACAGAAAACTAACAATCTCAAACATTTTAATGGCTCTCAAATTGCGGTAAATAATTGCTTTCTTTACCAATGAAGCGCAAACGTATAGGACATGTTATTTAGTATTGATTACTTATAGATAGTGCCAAATAAGATATAACAAAATACGGGTACAAGGCAAATAAAATTGAAACAAAATATATACCAGCGTTCACAATTTTCCATGCGCGCGCAAGCGAGCAAATTTGCACGGGGACCGCTCGTGCGCGCACAAGAATTTCTCACGCCGGCACACTGTACAACCGTCCAAAAGAAGCAGAACCAAGCTACCGTTGTTGCGTGCAAGACCGCAACGCGAACCCATCCAAGTCCAAAAAATTTGCGTCCCTCTATGTCTGAATAACCCTCATGTGTGATAATTGCTGCTTACTTGGCAAAGCCCGATTGGCCGGTCAACATGCAGTAGGCCAATAATCGGATGCCCAAATGATAAGCAGAATCTAAAAAAAACATGAGACCAACAAGATAATTGGATATCCAGTACAAATGATGATAAGCAAAATCTCCACATGTAAGGCTATTATCTAACAAGTATAGAACTAGAAACTTAAGGGATCTTTGATTTTACTTCAACTATAATTTTAATGTAATTCCTAAAAAAAAAAAAATTCAACTTGAGAATATTGCAATTTGCGTTTGCGGTTGTATTTGCAGGCGTTCGTTTTTTGGGAAATAAATGTACAATGAACTTCTGTTGGGGGTTGGTTGCAGTTACAGCTATAACCTAAGAGCCTGTTTGGATTTGTAGGGGGTGAAGGGAAGTTAAGGGAAACTAGGTGAGAGAATGGAAGGGAAGGGAGTTCTCTTCCTCTTGGTTACACCCCAATTTGGGGGATAACAAATTTTATACTATTAGGGGGTGAACCAAGGGGAACTAGGGTGAATAACTTCACCTCCTAAATGTTCCCAAACAAGGTGAATGAAGGTGAATGGTTCCCCTAACTTCCCTTCACCCTTATTCCCCTCAATCCAAACAAGCCCTAAAGCTGTAACTGCAACTTAAGCACAAATTTGTGTATTAGAAGATATTTTGTAACCGCAGCCGCAATCGTGTTCTGGGTTTTATTAAGACATGAGTCCCTTAAAGCTTCAATAATTCCATATGAATTCCTCAAATATTTGAAATTGCTTACAAAGGGGGTTGGGCGAAAAAACATAACTGAAGGGCGTTTCGGTCATTGAGGGACGAAATTGCAAGAAACGTTAGGATCTGAGGGACTTGTGAGCAATTTCATAGATTTGAGGGGCTAGTACGAAATTATTGAAAGTTCGAGGAACAAATAACTGGCACTGGCTGACCCAGAATATCTCAGATGAATACATGCAATTGCGACGCTGCAACCAAACAACCCCTAAAGACAAGAGAAATGAGAATAGGACTAAAGGTAACTCCTTGCAGGCAACAATAGGCATCATATGCAGCACCTGGTTGGTTCACATTGCTTTCGTGTTTCAAAATTCAGAGGAGCTAAGGACAAAGGAAACGATTCTTTCCTAACACCGTTGGAAATGGATCCTCGTGTCTTCTGCAAGTGCCAGCTTACCCTACTGAGTGATCCAGCTTACTGGTTTTTATTACGTCTGCTATAAAAGCCAAACAGGGCCACTCTCAAACAAAGGGACTGGACCTGGGAGATATTTTCACCCTCTAGTTTCATTTGTTATTTTCAAAAACATCACCGAGGGACATTTTGGTCACTGAGAGACAAAATTGCAAGAAACCTTGGGATCTAAGGGACTCATGAGCAATTTCATATACACGAGGGGGTAGTACGAAATGATTGAAAGTTTGACGGACAAATAACTGCACCTGACCCAAAATATCTCAGATGCATACATTCAATTGTGACTGCTGCAACCAAACAACCCCTAAAGACAAGAGAAATGAGAATACCTCTCAATGTAACTCCTTGCAGGCAAAGATAGCTTCATATGCAGCACCTGGTTGGTTCACATTTCACCCGTGTTTCAAAATTCAGAGGAGCTAAGGACAAAGGAAACGACTCTGTCGCTCCTAACACTGGTGGAAATGGATTCTCGTGTCTTTCGCAAATCTACTGAATCCAGCATTGCCAGCTACTGAGTGATGCCGCTCACCGGTTTTTATCACCTCAGGTATAAAAGCCAAACAGGGCCACTCTCAAACAAAGGGACTGGACTCGGAGTTATTTTCACCGCCTAGCTTCGTTTGTTATTTTCAAAAATATCACTGAGGGACATTTTGGTCACTGAGAGACGAAATTGCAAGAAACCTTGGGATCTAAGGGACTCATGAGCAATTTCATATACACGAGGGGCTAGTACGAAATGATTGAAAGTTTGACGGACAAATAACTGCACCTGACCCAAAATATCTCAGATGCATACATTCAATTGTGACTGCTGCAACCAAACAACCCCTAAAGACAAGAGAAATGAGAATACCTCTCAATGTAACTCCTTGCAGGCAAAAATAGCTTCATATGCAGCACCTGGTTGGTTCACATTTCACCCGTGTTTCAAAATTCAGAAAAGCTAAGGACAAAGGAAACGACTCTGTCGCTCCTAACACTGGTGGAAATGGATTCTCGTGTCTTTCGCAAATCTACTGAATCCAGCATTGCCAGCTACTGAGTGATGCCGCTCACCGGTTTTTATCACCTCTGGTATAAAAGCCAAACAGGGCCACTCTCAAACAAAGGGACTGGACTCGGAGTTATTTTCACCGCCTAGCTTCGTTTGTTATCTTCAACTCTTTCTCTTTCTCTCATATCCCATATAATTTAGGCAGCTTCATCTGCAATCACAAACTCTGCAGTATCACCACAAGCCTGCACAAAGAAAGAGAGAAAATGACAGTGATGAACTATTAGGGAAAATTGGAAAGGTTGATTAAAGTAAACAAAACTAGGGTTAATTGTATACACACCCCCTGTGCTACGATGATACCTCCCTACACTTTTTATTAGCACTTACGAAGCCTGAAGCTCAGAAGACTTTAACTATTTTACCGCCACTTAACATGACGATTTAGTCTTTGTTTCCATGAGGGCAGAAGATAATTTATCATGTGATTCTCATGTGATATCTCAACCGAACTTTGGAAACAATGTCATCTTGATTTCATGGCGAGTAAGTGTTAATAAAATAGGGGACATATAGTGGGGGTATCAGATGACATGAACAGGAAAAAATAATAATACAGTACCAAGCACAAAAGATACTCCTCTTTACCCGAAGCACTTACTTCTTTGGTGCGAGTAAAGTCAATTATTGGCAGTGTTCAGTTTGCAAACTTAGAGTTGGTGCCAGTTATCTAGCATTCTAATAATTTATATGTGCAGTTATCGATACTGTATTTCGCACATGTTGATAAAAAAATGGTTAGCATGTGAAAGTTCCTAATAACCTGAAGCCAATTGTTATGGATAAACTTGACAAAGTAAAAGAAAGTGGCATTAGCGTGAATTCAGAGTTAGTGCTCTTCTGCTTTGTTGATCAGGGGCTGAACTGCATATGGGACAAAAGTAGTGCAACATACATAATTACACGAGATACTTAACAACATGAGGTTTTGTTTCTTATGGGCTTCACAAAATAATTATTGTATAATGAAATTAGATGAGCGACCATTTCATACCATAACTTTCTGAGATTTATTTACCAAGTTATTCCTCAAATATGAGATCAACCCCTAAAGCAACAAAACCTCTGAATGAAGATTGAAATGATTTTACCACAAATGTGTGCTTTAAAACAGACATGTTGCCAATGTTGCTCCCTTGATTGCGAGATAATAGCAGCCGTACATGAGGTACACTCTTCCAACTCTCTCCCAAGGCAGGCTTCAAACTTCCTCCCTCTCCACTGACCATATGATTTGTTACCTGCATCACAACGAACAAATATTATTCACACAACTTATAAGAAGCGCTTCATTGAATAAGTTACAAGATTACTGTTAGAATGGGGGTGTAGATCAAACCTCATTTTTCAATGAGGAGCGTCGGCGAGGAGCTACGATGAGCTCGCAGGCGATCTTCGGCAGCACAGGCGACCTCTGCGTTCAAACCCCGACCTCTGCGTTCGAACCCCGAGCTCTGTGTTCTTTTGGCGGATCCGACCTCTGCGTTTACCCCCGACTTTGGCGTCCGTGGGCCGCTGGCGACAGGCTGTCGCCAGCCCATCAACTCCGCCTATATAAACCCCCCATCGCCTAGGGTTTTGCTGCGATTTTTCCCCCTCCTCCGATTTTCTCTCTGGCGGCTGCCCTAAAATCGCTGCTGCGATTTTGTTTTAATCCCCAGCTTCAACAGTATTTGAAGGGGGATTTAAGAAGAGAGAGAAAGAGAATTAAAGAGGGTTTTATATTGTGGGGTTATTCATTTATTCTCAAGTGAGACTTGAAAAGGGTTCATACCCTTTAATTATTAACACTGTGGCTACAGTGTTTATTTGAGAAATCTCAGTTTTGGGATTTGCTCTTGATTTGTAATTTCTTGTTTGATTAATAAGAAATTATCTGTGTGGCTCTCGAGGGCGTAGGCAGTTGCCGAACCTCGTTAAAACTTGATGTACTTTTCTATACTGCGTTTCCGTTGTATTAGGGATTTCGGCGTTAAATTCCCAACTGGTATCAGAGAGTGAAACGATCTAGAAGAAGTCAGATTCAAGTGAGAGCCATGGCCGCAGATGAGGCAAAAATGAGACTTGAGAAATTTGATGGAACAGATTTCGGATTCTGGAAAATGCAGATAGAGGATTATCTGTATCAGAAAAATCTGTATCAACCACTATCGGGGAAGAAGCCGGATTCTATGAAGGAAGAAGAGTGGAACCTTCTAGATAGACAAGCCCTCGGAGTTATCAGATTGACGTTGACTCGCAATGTTGCGTTCAACATAGCGAAGGAGAAGACCACGGCAGGTCTTATGCCAGCTCTCTCAAATATGTATGAGAAGCCATCAGCCGCAAATAAAGTTCATTTAATGCGGTGGTTATTCAATCTGAAAATGGCGGAAGGCGCGTCAGTAGCACAACACCTCAATGAACTTAATACGGTTACAACCCAATTGAGTTCAGTTGAGATTGAGTTTGATGATGAAGTTCGGGCGTTGATACTTTTATCTTCCCTACCAGAGAGTTGGAACGCTACAGTCACAGCTGTGAGTAGCTCGTCGGGAAACAGTAAGTTGAAGTTCGACGACGTTCGTGATTTGGTTCTCAGTGAGGAGATCCGACGGCGAGAGACTGGTGAAGCTACAACCTCTTCAGTATTGCATACAGAGTCAAGAGGTAGAAATTCAACCAGAAACGGACGAGGAAAATCAAACTACAGAGGTAGATCAAAGGACAGGAGGTCCAAATCAAGGAATCCAAGCAACAACTCGAAGGCTATCGAATGTTGGAATTGTGAAAAGACCGGGCATTACAAGAATCAGTGCAAGAGCGCACAGAAGGAGAAGGAAGCGAAGACAGAGGTGAATGTCACCTCCACTTCAGGAGGAGATGACGCATTGATATGCTCTTTGGAGAGCAAGAAGGAATCTTGGGTGTTAGATTCAGGAGCGTCGTTCTATGCTACTTCTCAGAAAGAATTATTCGAGAAGTATACCCTTGAAAATCTTGGATACGTATATCTTGGTGATGATCAACCATGTGCTATTGTGGGCAAAGGCGTGGTAAAAATTAAGTTGAACGGGTCTGTATGGGAGCTGAAGGATGTCAGGCATATTCCCGACCTGAGAAAGAATTTAATATCCGTAGGCCAGTTGGCTGGCGAAGGATATACCACGACCTTCCATGGAGATGATTGGAAGATCTCAAAGGGCGCAATAACGATTGCCCGAGGCAGAAAGACTGGTACCCTATATATGACAGCAGGTGCACGTTGTTTGATTTCAGTTGCAGCAGGCAATGAAACTTCAAAGCAGTGGCACCAGAGACTCGGTCATATGAGTGAGAAGGGGATGAAGATCATGCACACAAAGGGAAAACTCCCAGGACTGCAGTCAGTGGAGATGGATGTGTGAAGAATGTATACTTGGAAAGCAGAAGAGAGTCAGCTTTCAGACAAGTGGCAGAACCCCCAGGAAAGAGAAACTAGAGCTCGTTCACTCAGATGTGTGGGGACCAACAACCACCGCGTCCATTGAGGCAAATCCTAAAAAATACATAGGATCCGTGTGTTCGACACGTGTATCCGACACGGACACGACACGACACGGCTTCATGTTATGCGTGTCCGTGCTTCATAGGCTAGAGCACGTTCACTCAGATGTGTGGGGACCAACAACCACCGCGTCCATTGGTGGAAAACACTACTTCGTGACTTTTATCGATGATCACTCTCGGAAAGTGTGGGTCTACTTTCTGAAGCATAAGTCAGAAGTATTTGAGGCTTTCAGGAGATGAAAAGCTATAGTCGAAAATAAGACAGGTCCGAGAATAAAGAAGCTCGGGACCGACAATGGCGGTGAGTATGAAGACACCGGATTCAAAAAGTTCTGCTATGAGCACGGGATCAGAATGGAGAGAACCGTGCCCGGCACGCCTCAGCAAAATGGTGTAGCTGAGCGGATGAACCGAACGTTGACGGAGAGAGCCAGAAGCATTCAGGTACAGTCAGACCTACCGAAGCAGTTCTGAGCAGAAGCGGTCAATACAACAGCTTACTTGATCAACCGAGGTCCATCGGTTCCATTGGAACACAGAATACCAGAGGAGGTATGGTGCGGAAAGGAGGTAAAACTCTCACATCTTAAAGTTTTCGGTTGTGTAGCTTACGTGTATATTAGTGATCAAGGCAGGAATAAGCTTGATCCCAAGTCAAAGAAATGCACTTTCATCGGCTATGGTGAAGATGAGTTCGGCTACCGCATTTGGGACAACGAAAACAAGAAGGTGATCAGGAGCAGAGATGTGATATTCAACGAGAAGGTGATGTACAAGGACATGCACAAGACAGATGACTCAGAGAGCGAGTCAATATTTGTAGATGCAGATGATGTCCCGAGTAACCTCTCGGAAGAACCCAATGCAGAGGGTCCTCAGCTAGAAGAGCCTGTTGGACAAGATGGTGCGCAAGAGCCCGACGCACCAGCTCCGATTTTGAGGAGATTTTCTCGTCCTCCTGTACCAAACAGGAGATATATGAACTATCTGTTGTTGACAGATGGTGGGGAGCCTGAAAGCTATGATGAAGCTTGTCAGTGTGGAGATGCGAGCAAGTGGGAGCTTGCCATGAAAGATGGGATGAAGTCCCTCATCTCAAACCAGACGTGGGAACTAGCTGAGTTGCCCACGGGAAAGAAAGCACTCCACAACAAATGGGTGTACCGGGTGAAAGAGGAGCAAGATGGTTCCAGAAGATATAAAGCCCGGCTAATTGTCAAGGGATTCCAGCAGAAGGAAGGAATTGACTACACCGATATTTTCGTTCCCTTGGTAAAGCTAAATACTATCAGGACCGTGATGAGTATTGTAGCAATTGAAAATCTTCATCTCGAGCAGTTAGACGTAAAGACGGCGTTTCTTCACGGAGATCTGAAAGAGGAGATATACATGCACCAGCCAGAAGGTTTCTCAGAAGAAAAGAAGAACCTGGTGTGCAGACTCAAGAAGAGCTTGTATGGCCTGAAACAAGCCCCAAGACAGTGGTACAAGAAGTTTGACGGCTTCATGCACAAGGAAGGTTTTCAGAAGTGCAATGTCGATCACTGTTGCTACTTCAAAAGATATCAGTCCAGCTATATCATCGTACTGCTGTATGTTGATGATATGTTGCTTACAGGAGCAGATATGGAGGATATCAGAAGTTTGAAGCAGCAGCTGTCAAAGGAGTTTGACATGAAGGACTTGGGTCCAGCGAAAAAGATCCTTGGAATGCAAATCACGAGAGATAAGAAGAGAGGTCTCTTGCAGTTATCTCAGACGGAGTACATCAACCGTGTTTTGCAGAGATTCAACATGGGCGACGCCAAGCCTGTGAGCACACCCTTGGCCAGCCATTTTCGTCTATCGAATGATCAGTCTCCTCAGTCAGAAAAAGAGAAAGAGAGTATGGCTCAGGTTCCTTACGCCTCAGCTATCGGAAGTTTGATGTACGTAATGGTTTGTACGAGACCAGATATTGACCATGCAGTGAGAGTGGTCAGCCGGTTTATGTCGAATCCAGGAAAAGCTCATTGGGAAGCGGTCAAGTGGATTCTGAGATATCTACGAGGCACCACACAGAAGTGTTTGCACTTTGGTAAGGGAGAGGTAGAAGTGCAAGGGTACGTAGATGCAGACTTCGACGGCGAAGTTGATCACCGAAAAGCACCACCGGCTATGTATTCACCGTCGGAACTACAGCTGTTAGTTGGATGTCACAGGTACAGAAGATTGTTACCCTATCCACTACAGAAGCTGAGTATGTTGTAGTGACTGAAGCCAGTAAAGAGATGATATGCCTTCAGGGTTTGTTAACAGAGCTGGGATTCAAACAGGAGAAGAATGTTTTGCACAGTGATAGCCAGAGTGCGATACACTTGACGAAGAATTCAGCATTTCACTCTAGAACGAAGCATATTGCGCTTCGGTATCACTTCATCAGATCCCTGTTGGAAGATGACGTGTTACAACTGGAAAAGATTCCAGGGAGTAAGAATCCAGCAGATATGTTAACAAAGACGGTGACTGTTCAGAAACTGGAGTTGTGCGCAACTTCAGTTGGCCTTCATGCATAAGATGATGAGGGCGGAGCCACACAGAAAAGGAGCTTGATGAGATAGCATGTTGACGGCGGTTTGATCTCCAAGTGGGAGATTGTTAGAATGGGGGTGTAGATCAAACCTCATTTTTCCAATGAGGAGCGCCGGCGAGGAGCTCCGACGAGCTCGATGTCGACGCAGGCGAAGCCACAGGCGAGGTCCAGGCGATCTTCGGCAGCACAGGCGACCTCTGCGTTCAAACCCCGACCTCTGCGTTCGAACCCCGAGCTCTGTGTTCTTTTGGCGGATCCGACCTCTGCGTTTACCCCCGACTTTGGCGTCCGTGGGCCGCTAGCGACAGGCTGTCGCCAGCCCATCAACTCCGCCTATATAAACCCCCCATCGCCTAGGGTTTTGCTGCGATTTTTCCCCCTCCTCCGATTTTCTCTCTGGCGGCTGCCCTAAAATCGCTGCTGCGATTTTGTTTTAATCCCCAGCTTCAACAGTGTTTGAAGGGGGATTTAAGAAGAGAGAGAAAGAGAATTAAAGAGGGTTTTATATTGTGGGGTTATTCATTTATTCTCAAATGAGACTTGAAAAGGGTTCATACCCTTTAATTATTAACACTGTAGCTACAGTGTTTATTTGAGAAATCTCAGTTTTGGGATTTGCTCTTGATTTGTAATTTCTTGTTTGATTAATAAGAAATTATCTATGTGGCTCCCGAGGACGTAGGCAGTTGCCGAACCTCGTTAAAACTTGGTGTACTTTTTCTATACTGCGTTTTCGTTACATTAGGGATTTCGGCGTTAAATTCCCAACAATTACATCCGTTCAAAGGTGAAAGGTGGAAGCAATACTTGCTAACATCATATATAGTGCCCATTACATAATGTGAGATCCTCTTTCAAAAGTTCCTGATGATAGAAGTAGATTGGTGCTTGTTAGTGAGGTTTGGAACATAATCATGCCAGATGAGCTGAAATGCCCAACTGAGGCCATTTCCAGATTTTAATGGACTAGGCATATACAATAGATATGACGGCAAGCTTCAGTTCATTGCTAGTTGCCATTAGCATTTAGGATGTATTTGGGATAGAGTGCTTTGAGCCTCATGTTGTTCCAATTACATCCAATCTTCAAAATATATGTTTGTTTGCGCTTCATAACAACACCAAACAGTTGTTGCAACGTGGTATAGGTTAAGGATAGGGGATTTGCAGCTGCATTCAAATTGGAAAGTGTTCAATAGCAGGAGTTGGAACTAAATGATGTTGTAAATGCATTTTTTGTTCCTATTCTTCCTAACCAAATATACCTTACATCTGTAACATGCTAGAAACCAAAAGATACTCTATCAGCAGAGAATACAAAATAGACAGATACATCCAGTGTAGGAAATGCCACTTCGTAAGGGAAGACATTGATGTTACCAGGTACTTCTACCATGAAGCCGTACCCGTACCGGACACGTACCCGACATGTACCCCTATCCAAACTTCATGGACACTCCCTTGGATATATGCATATATTTTTTAAGATATGTATCAATTATATGATATATGTTTTAATTTAAAACACTTGTCATACACTTCTTGGACGCATATCCTACATTTCTTAAAGCTCGTTCGACATGGGTCGTGATCGTTTCAGCCCATATCAACGTTCAAAACTATAATTTTAAAGGGTCTTTCGGGTGGCTATTAAAAAATGAGCGGTTTCAAATTTATAATAACCAACATAATGAAAGAAACTTAAAAACATGATATGAATTGTAATTCTAATAACACATGAATTTAAAAACAATAATAATCTCATGTAAATTATTAAAATCAATATGTGTGCATAGCTGTCCCCCTGTACCCCGCATTTTACAAATTTATCGTGTCTTGTATCCATACCCGCACCCACACCCGTAATGGCACCCGCACCCATTTCCATACAACTTAGGCAGACATTGAAGGATATGGGTGTTACAGATCCAGCCTCCTTGGACACCAATTTTTAGTTTGAGCAGTTGTCTGGTATACTATAGCTATTTCACCAAAGAAACAGGACAATTCTTATGTTTTCACCTAGGGGAAATTACCTTGCAAGAAGACAACAAGAGAGCTGTGAACAAACACGAAAGTTTCCTCGAACATTCATTTGAAGGTGCAGGTACCATATCTATTATAGTCTAGTCATATCTGCGTACCACAAATAGCTTGAATAACCCGTATACACTTTAACCTGGGAAGCTCCCACACATTTAAGCTCCCGATTGTGGTTCAATTTAATTTTGGAAGAATGTGGGTGGGTCAAAAAGAAAAACAGGAAACCTCCAAATATAATAATTTGGCCACTACCACTTTCATAATCGATGTAAATGCACTTACTAGTACAGCAAGATTGTATTCATCTGCTAGTTTCTTCAATAAAAATCCAGCTGATATCATCAACAATCGCCCTGCATGTCCAATCATTTTAATAGCTCAGTACACTTCATATTCACAATTGTTCTAATGACCATACACGCTTCTAATTTAATACTATTATACAAAGTAAACCCCTCAATTATAATTTATTAATTACTCAAGTCACTTAGTTTACCAAAACAACGGCAAGAAAATCAACTTGGACAAGTTAACAAGAAGATAAGGTTGTGTTGCATAGCTGACCCATTTTGATTCGAAAAGGCTTGCATGATGATTGTCGCAACAGGGGGTTTCACAGATACAGAAGATGTCTATACAAAAGAGGATAATAACAAAACTGAATAAACACAATAAAGACAAAGAGAACAGCACACAAGGATTTAACGTGGTTTGATCAGTATGACCTACGTTCACGAGCGAGAACAACAGAGAACTTCACTAATCACAAAAGAGAAGATTACAAAAGTAGATCACTCTAATATCTCACCAAACTCACACAAAGAAAAGAACACTCAAAGAAAACTCTCTTTTTGCTTTTTCTATTCAACTCTCTTTCTTTTTCTCTCTGTTCTGAATCTCTATTCGATACTCTAACCCTTCACCACTCTTCTCTATTTATAGCCTTCAAAAGAGTTGGTGAAATAGTATTTTGGATTTGTGGAACAGTATTCTGGGTTGGTGGAACAGTAGTGTTTGGTGGGTTAAAATTCAAAGTCACGTTTTATAAATCTCCACATTGACTTTGAATATGAAGATCTTCTCTTTACTCTTGCTGTCTCGCCAGAAGCCTCTTACGGGCTTAACATCTACTTTGTTGAACTCCAAGCAATTCAAAACAATGCTCGAATTTACGCGAATGTACAAACTTCGTCATTATATCTGCTGGATTATCTGCAGTATCAATTTCCTCAATCTTAATGACTTTAATTTCTCCGATAAAATGATACCTGACATCTATATGTTTGATTTTTTTATGATACATCTGATGCTTCATCAAATGTATAGCACTTTGGCTGTCACAAAATATCAAAGTAACACCTTAATGTAAGCCGAGATCTTCAACCAACCTCTCAACCAAATGGCTTCTTTTACTGTCATATACTCTGTCTCTGTAGTAGACAAAGCAATTGTCGACTGTAGAGTTGCCTTCCAACTAATGACATTACCTGAAAGATTGAATACATAACCTGTCAGTGATCGTCTTTTATCCACATCGCTCGCATAATCTGAATCAGAATAGCCAAGTATACAGCAATCTGAATTTGTGTTCCTGCCAAAATACAATCAATATTAATAAATTCTCTCAAATATGTAAGTATCAATTTCACAGCCTGCCAATGAACCTTTCCAGGTTTATCCATATACCGACTCACAACACTGACTGTACGCGAAATATCTAGACGGGTGCAAATCATAACATACATAATGCTTCCAACTGCACTAGCATAATGAACACAAGACATGTACTGCTCCTATGTCTGAGGTGACAAATCTGCTAAAAGACGAAAATGAGCAGCAATCAGAGTTTTCACAGGCTTCGCATTAAGCATGTCAAATCTCTCCAACACCTTCTTGATGTATTTCTCCTGAAATAGGAATAAACTTCCTTCTCGTCTGTTCCTGTGGATCTCCATCCTCAAAATCTTTTTTGCTGCTCCTAAGTCCTTCATCTCATATTTGAGTTGAGATTTCAACTTGTTGATTTCTAACATATCTTTAGCTGCAATAAATATGTCATCAACATACAAAAGTAAATACACAAAAGAACCATCATTGAGTTTTTTATGATAAACACAAGGATCATATTTACTCCTAGAGTAACCATGCTCAAATATGAAAGTATCAAATCTCAAATACCACTGTCTCGAAGACTGTTTTAACCTATAAAGAGGTTTCTTTAACATGTACACATGATCTTCTTTACATTCAATAATGAACCCCTCTGGCTGATGCATAAAGATTTGCTCCTCAAGCTCGCTATGTAGAAAAACCGTATTTACATCAAGTTGCTCAAGCTCCAAATTAAAATGAGCAACCATGACAAGCAACACGCGGATTGAGGTGTGTTTTTCAACTGGAAGAAATACTTCATTAAAGTCTAAACATTCTGTTTGACTGTAACCTTTAGCTACCAAGCGTGCTTTGCACCTTACAGAATCTAATATCCGGAGCTCCTTTCTTCTTGAAGACCCATTTACAGCCAACAATTTTTTGTCCTTTTGGTGACTTCACTAACTCCCATGTCTTGTTCTTGTAAAAAGACTCCATCTCTTCAGTCATCGCAACAGTCCAATTTGTAACCTCATTGCCACTAATAGCCTCCTTATAGGTGGAAGGCTCTGGAATTTTGGTCGATTCTACTATATTCAAAGCATAAGCAAGCATGTCTGCATAACGTTGAGGAGGTCGTATCTGCCTTTTTGTTCTGCCGGTGGCAATATTGTATTGTTGCTCTTATGGTGCATCAGCATCTGAAGTTGAACCTTTCACGGTATCAACTGATTCAACATGAGTGCCCTCAAGCACTTTCTTTGAAGCTGAGCTCGCTAGTTCCACCTGCTTGCTAGACTCTTTTTCAGTACATGTAGTATTAATAACAAACTCTTTTCTCGGGTAAAGCGTGAATTTTTTATCAAAAGTAGCATCCCTGCTAATAATAAACTTAGGTGATATGGGATCAGAATGCCACAATCTATATCCATTCACCCCAGTAACGTATCCTAGAAAGATAACTTTCTTCGCTCTGGGTTCAAACTTACCATCATTAACATGAAAATAAGCAGAGCAACCAAATGCTCTTAAATAAGAGTAATTAGCAGAGGCACCAGACCATACCTCTTCTGGAGTCTTAACATTAATTATTTATTAAATAGAAAGTTGTATTGACTGCCTCGGCCTAAAAGTCTTTTGACAAACCAGCATTAGAGAAAATGCATCGAGCTCTCTCTAAAAGTGTTCTGTTCATCTTTTTTACAACTCTATTTTGCTGTGGTGTATGCCAAACTGTACGATGACGTACAATACCTTCATTCTTGCAGAATTAGTCAAACTTTGCGGAACAAAACTCCATCTCATTGTCGGTTCTGAGGCGCTTCACTTTCTTTCCTGTTTACTTCTCAATCATAACCTTTCATTGATTGAAGTTTGCAAATACATCACTCTTATGTTTCAAAGGATATACCCAAACTTTTCTGGAAAAATCATCGATCAATGTTAGCAGAAAACGAGCTTCACCTTTCGATGGAACCTGAGAGGAACCCTAAACATCTGAATGGATATAATCTAAAGTATCGGTACTAAAGATGACTCTATGGTGTTTGTCGAAAATACAATGTTCACAAAAGTCTAGCTTACTAGTTTTTTAACCACAAAATAGACCTTATTTGCTCAATACATCTAGTCCTCTCTCACTCTCACTCATATGCCTAACCGCATATACCACAAACGTGTATTGTCAGAATCTGAATTCTCCGAGGATGATACTGCTACAACACCTATCACTGTACTGTCTTCAATGATATAGAGGGTATTTACCTTCTTTTTTTCATAACGATAAGAGAGTCTTTACTAACTCTCAAAACTCCACCTTCAGCCGAAAACTTAAAACCATTAGAGTCAAGGGTGCCTAAAAAAATAAGGTTCTTCTTTAACTTTGGTATATGTCGGACATTGCTTAGTGTTCTAACAATACCATTATGGGTTCTAATCTTAATTGACCTAATACCAACAGTCTTGCAAGACATGTTATTTCCCAACAAGACATTCCCACCGTCAATATATTGATATGTGATAAATCAATCCCTATGTGGACACATATGATAACCCGAATCAAGAACTCACTCATCTTATGAATGAGTATTAACACTAACTGAAAGAACTTCATGTGAACTAGAAGACTCTTCAGTTACAGTAACAACTGAAGGTTTCACCTCCACAAACTTTGACTGTGAATTATCCTTTGCTTTGAGCGCTTGACAATTAGGTTTTATATGTCCATACTTATAACAGTAATAATAACATTCAATATTTTTTCTCGGCATGGACTTTGATCTAGACATATTCCTAGATTTGCCTCTACCACCAACACCCTTTTTAGGACGACCACTAGCGAACAAACCTTCAGCTTGATCCTCTCCTCCTACGACAAACACTTTCTGCTTAACTCTTTTGAATGTAAGGCTAATTTGACATCCTCTAAAGAAAGTGTATCTCTACCGTATAACATGCTATTAACAAAATTCTTATAGGAAGAAGATAATGAACATAACAAAATAAGGGTTTGATCTTCTTCATCAATTTTAACATCAATATTCTTTAAATTCATAAGAATAGTATTAAGTTCATCTAAATGGTATTTAATCTGCATATCTTCCTTCATGCGAAGGATGACGAGGCGTTACTTCAAATAGAGCTTGTTTGTTAGAGATTTCGTCATGTATAAGCTCTCCAACTTGAGCCACAAACCGACAGCGATATCTTCATTGGCAACCTCCCGCAGGACTTCATCGACCAAACAGAGCTGTATGGCACTATGCGCCTTCATCTCCAGCTCTTCTTTCTCATCATCAGGCATGAATTCTAACAACCTGTCCTTTTCAGACAAGACTTTGAACAGTTCTTGATATACTAGAAGAGCCATCATCTTTACTCTTCACAAACTGAAATTGTTTCTCCCATCGAATTTCTCCACTTTGTGTTTTGCAGAAGACATCTTGAAGCCCACTAGGACAGTAACTATAATTGTAAACAGTAACCGTAATTGTGAATAGTAACCATATTTGTGAACAATATTGTACTCGTAAATAGTGTCCAGTGCCCTAAGCCAGTTTTTGATACCACTTTGTTGCAACGGGGGGCTTCACAGACACAAAAGATGTCTATACAAAAGTGGATAACAACACTAAATAAATACAGTGAAGAAAAATAGAACAACACATAAGGATTTAACATGGTTCTGTCAGTATGAACTACATCCACGGGCGAAAATAACAGAGAACTTCACTAATTACGAAAGAAAAGATTACAAAGGAAGATCACTCTAATATCTCACCAAACTCGCACAAAGAAGAGAACACTCAAAGAAAACTCTTTTTTTACTTTTTCTTTTCAACTCTCTCTTTCTTTTTCTCTTTGTTCTGGATCTCTGTTCGATGCTAACCCTTCACCACTCTCCTCTATTTTATAGCATTCAAAAGGTTTGGTGAAATAGTGTTTTGGGTTGGTGGAACAGTGTTCTGGGTTAGTAGAATAGTAGTGTTTGGTGGGTCAAAATTCAAAGTCACATTTTACAATTATGTTATTAGCTTTTAACATAACAAAATCAATTGATAAAGTATTTATCGCTTCAGAGGCTATACATGCAAAATTATCAAATCATATATTGTCATCCAAACACAAAAAGGATCTATATATAGAATGACACAAATTTTATACCCTGAGAATCTTTGCCTCCAAGGACGGGGGCTATCAGAGATGAGATTGAATCGATAATCAATACGCTTGTCTTGGCACTTTCACTTTTCACCTAAAACATTCATCAGAAGCACAAAGATTTAGAAAACAGATATGATTCTTCTTGTAAATTATAACATTATACATCTTGTCCAGTCTAAAGACCTGAACCTTTAATGAGAATTCAAGTTGGTGCAGTACATCCAGCAGCACAAATATGTCATAAACTGACTGACATGTTATACCGGTCATTATCCTTTGAACCCTTCTTTCATTGACCTAAAGATAGCAAACTATTTCTAAAGTGAGTACCACAAAATGAGAAATGAAATGTAGACAACCCATATAGCTAAGGTGATTAATCTTGATGGATCATGGAATCAAATAAATAAGTCTGCTAAGTGATTTTCAAATTTGACCTCTTTAGCTAAGGGGCCTGATAACTGATTTATGATGCAAGCAACGCGGTGAGCAGAAAAGGAATTGGATGTATCCAAGAACACAACACCCAAATGACTGTCTGCAACATGTGAAGCAACATGTAAACAAACCTGTGTGAAGATTGAACTATATGAGATAAAGCTCAACAATGATCAATATGAAATTAAAGTGAATATAGCAAAAGCTAGAGAGGCACCTTCTTCCATGCCTCTCTCTTTAACAAATGGATTTGTCCAAAGGTCTTTCTGGTGCCAATGGCATGTATGATTCAGAAAGCAAATGCATATTCAATTATCTGCATCATTTCAAATGCCTACAAACTAGGAAAGGATGTTTTGAATTTTCTTACTCATGCATCAAATGTAAGAAACGACAATTTCCCAAACTAGATAATCCATGATGTTTGAGGTTCATATATAAAAAGAATTTATTTGAATATCGGTTTCAAAATGGGTTCTTGATCTATACAATGCAAACCATGTCACAAGCGATTCTGTTCATCGCTGTTTCAGCCATTATTTCGTTAATGTCGGTCATATCTAGTTGACTGGATCTTAAATTACTATGCTCCAACACGTATCTCATATTGTTAGAATCGGCATAGAATCAGTTACGTCGTAGCATGCATAGAATGTGTATACTTAAACGTCAGCTTGCTTCATGTATACTTAAACGTAAGCTTGCTTCATTTCATCATTAGCCTGCAACCCATTCTTAAACTTTTAGGTATCGGGGTTACCCTACATGATATCAGACCATTAAGCTTCAAGAGACCATTTGTCCAAACATTGATTTGCTCCTTCTTATTCTACCTTGCAAGCTAGTCAAATGCATAGAGGACTATCCATGTGTCAAAAAGCTCGTGTGAGGGGAGCGCTATATAAATTTCCTTTGGTAAATGTAAAAGTATAGAGCTTTTTCCTGTGAGCACTACTATCTGAGACCATAGCTGGCAAGAACTGAGCCTTGAGCCTTGACACAACCGAATATCAAAAACATTGATTCAAACACATAACATACATGGATGCTTGAGACTTCGAGTTGGCCATAAAAAAATTAGTGCACAAGGAGCTCAGGATGAAGAGCTTCTCACCTGTGTTTTCCCCGAAGATGATGGCCCAACTATTTCTGTCAATTGACCCTCTCGCAGTCCTCCTCCAAGAAGCATATCAATCCTGACCATTAAGGTAAGGCAGACAAGTTGTCACCTAAACTTTACAAAGAAATGTAAACTGAAAATCAGGTTAGTTAAAGACAAATGCTTTATTTCAGAATACCCTTCATATCCGGTGGAAAGAAAATGCTTATTCTGCAAAGTATCCTCAAGCAACTGCACTCCATTCAACCATGGTTGGTGCTGACCATCTATTATAGAGAGAATTTGAGAGATCCCCTATTTTCACGCTTACAGATTTAGATCAACATGTTCCATATGCAAAGTATGAACCCCTTGGGGCCCTTAAATATTTTGAAGACTTAATAAGGTCCAGCAAATATCGATTATGTTGACTGATAACAACACAAAACTAAAAATATTGCAGCTACTACAATGGGATTAAGCAGAAAAAGGTGTACATAATAATTAGAGAAAAAAGTGTATGAACCTTTTTATTCATAGTCACATTGGGTTGGGTTTACTATAAAGTTGAGAGACCTCAAAATAACTAAGAGCATCACCAATGAGATATAACATGGAATCAATTAGTTCAAAATCTTCTCAGCTCTCATTAATGATCTAAGATATAAAGAATAGAAGAAAAAGAAACTGTCCAGTATCTGCTGACTTTGGATTACTGATAGGAGCTATTACTACCAGGGGCAAACTAAATTCAACAGTGCATGTTGTGAGTTAAAAATATTTTTTTCTATGAATTTGTTACCTCCTTCAACTCTTTCGGCCCTGCCTCAGCTTCGGCTAGTGAAACTAACTTGCTGAAGTCGTGGACAAGAAAATCCTCCACTGCATAAAGTAGATAAATAAATTCATGTTAAAACAAGATCTTATTTTCTGTCTGAAAAATTACAGTAAACGCACTGAACTATACTACATATCTGAAAGGAAGCAAGAGATATACGAAAAATTAATAAGGAATACGATATAGCTAACACATCTTATCTCTATTATTGCCATAGCAGACTCTTCTATGCATTTAAGTATAAGCATTTCCAATTAGTTCCCTATCATTTTCAGTTTCCCTTTCAATAAGAAAACAATGTCTCCTTACATATTAGTAAAGTTAGAATTCCAGGCATTAAATTAATGAGTGGAGACTAGATGGAGAGGCAAAAAACAAGCCATCCCATGTTGATAGCTAATCATATTATCATACTACACCAATATAACCAAGTAAACACTTTTGTCTCCAAGGCAGGAAAAAATTTAAAATGAAATAAAATAAAATAAAATAAAAATCAAGACATATTCCATGTAACAGTGAATAAAATGATTTAAAAGTAAAAGGGTAGTCATGATAAATGTATTATCTAAATATTGTATCTAGTTTACAGTAATAATAGCAAGTCCAAAATTAACGGAGAACTCTTATTAAGTATCCAAGTCTTTGGATTTTCTTCACTTCCATTACTACAATAATGCTCTAATTTAGGATCTTGAAAATGGGATGACAATGACAAAAGGATACCTCACCTGATTGTACCAACCACTAACCTTTGAAAAAGGTCAATGCTCTCAGTTAGAGTCCCGGACAATCATAGATGGTGATGACTGCAATCATAGATAGGGAAGGAGAGGCTCTACAATGTATGTCGATTGGTGATTCAATATAGTTTTGTCTTTGGGCCTGAAGACCTTTGAGTCTAGGTTTAGTTAAATCGCAATTTGTAGATGCGCAGCTAGCAGTTTTTGAATGATATATACGATGACATTAATTGTTATGAGTGATCCCAAAGATGATACGTTATCAACAATAACAACCTCACTTCTTCCTGAGAGGTTTCAAACAAATATTCTACCTACTCTAAAATTGAAGTAAGCAAATAAGCTTCTTGACCCCCTAGACTAACAAAAAGTGTAAAATCAGAATGGTACTTTTTCAAATATCCCAATTTTTCAGATTGCATCAGATAAGGATGTGTGAAATGCAACATTCTTGTGTTACACAAGTTTGAAGTAGATGACAAGATGGGCAACATGTATACACAAGTTAAAAAGGAACTACCACTAGGAGTTAGGGTCCACAACCCCCCACTCCAACACAAAAAAAAACTTAGGTTTGTTTCGCACATAGCTCCCTAAACTTTTTTATCTCACAAAACCCCCTGAACAATGGGGTTTCTCACAAAATTACCACGAACTTCAAACTTTTCTTGCCTAACCCCCCGGAATGTAATTAACGAATAACTAATATGTTCCTGAGCAATGTTACAGAAAGCGCTAGGTGGCCTAGCCGTTGAACCAGACGTCTAGCGCCTAGGTGGCTCCTAGACGGGGCCTAAGCGGTTTTCCTATTTTTATTTTTTAATTACAATAACTGATAGTAAATACCAATGTTATAGAAAGATTAGGCGCCGGACTGGTGCCTAGGAGGATTACTTTTTTCGTTTAAGTGGTGGTGGAGGCTTTGCTGAAGGTCAGAGGAGGTGTTTATAGTTGGAGGCTGGAGGAGTTTAGAGGAGGTTGGAGGACATGGAGACTGTAACCGAGGAAATTACGATTAAAACCTAAAGGATGCAGTCCATGTAAGCAAATACAGTCCATGTAAGCAAATCACTCCCTTAGGCGCTCCCAAAACCTAGGTGCACATCCTAGGTACTGCCTATGCACTATGCGGGCGACCAATGTACCACCTAGGTTTAGGCGTACGCCTGGGCAGACTAGGCGGATGCTTTTTTAAAACATTGCTCCTGAGAGAAAAAAGTCCTTTTAGTCATTTTCCTTTTATAGGCTACATACGTCTCCCTCCAATTTGAGTTTCTTTTCTCTAAAGGACATTTCGTTTGTTTGCCAATCCTGCGTAGGGGATCCGGGAAGAAAACTGTAAAATTTATAGTTCAGGGGGGTTTGTGAGACACCCCAAAGTTTATGGTGGTTTTGTAAGGCAGAAAAAGTTTGAGATTATGTGAACCAAACTGTACGAAGTAACTTGCTACAATTCTTTGCATGAGTTAGAAGAGTAAACCAAACAGTACGACAAATCTCACATTACTTCTGTTACCGCAAGTAACAATCATGTGGGGTCCTTTGTCATGAACTGTAATCATGGCACATGTGGCCCTCTACTTTTGAAGATGTAAAAGTCTTATGGTACCAAAGTAGTATAACTAGCATTAACCAGATTAGAATATGATAGATGCACAAAGTGGAGACACTGGCACATACTCTAATTCTCAGTACGCGAGATGAAAATGATAGTTAGACGGACCCCGGTCTGAAAATTAAACAGCATATCAAGGTTCTCTCCCTAAAGTAGTTCGGTCGATTGAACACCGATTTCTTTTAGAAAATACCTAAAGCAAACCTTCAAAAACCACAGCCCTTTCTGTTTTCAGTGATAAACATGTAAGAAATCAGATAAATTCTGATTTCATATGCTAATCATAATAAGGCATCATTGCAACTCGTACTCGACCTAAATTTCTTCAGTCAAAATCTAATCGAACACTTCACCTAAACCTCTATTCATTTGCTTGATAATCGAGAAAATTTTCAACAAAAATAATTTTGAAGTCTAATTTAGAGAGCGAGTAGCACAAATTGGGTCACCTGAAAGGGGAGGAGAGAGGATCGAGATCGAACCTGAGAAAATGCCGTGAGAGGCGCAGAATCGCCGGAATCTAGCGTCGAGTATTGGGAACTCGATCTCGAGACTTCGAAGTGGCGGCATCTCGAACTGGGGTTCAGCGACTTCAATTTCAGATTTCTAGGGCTTTTTTTTACAATATTTGAAGGGACAATTTTTCAAAACCAGCCTTTTTATAAAAATATTTTTCAAAAAAAACCTGTTCTAATTTTAATTATCAAAACCGATCCAGTTTCTGTCTCAGGGCTAAAACTAAGTCGATTTTAGCGAAAAAAGTTTTTGGAGTTGAACTCCTGTGAAGTTTTTTACATAACAAAACTTCACGGGATTTAAAAATTTGGGAACTTTTTATATGTAAAAAACTTTACGGAAGATCAACTTTGTAAAGTTTGGGAACTTTTTTTATCAAAACCGACCAAGTTTCAGCTCAAAGTCTGAAACTAGGTCGATTTTGATAATTAAAGTTGAAACAGATCGTCTTTTAAAAATAAGTTTCAAAAAAGATTTGTTTTGAAAATTTGTCCTATTTCGAGAGAAAGAGACGGGAAAAAGAGGGCAGGACTTTTGCCGCTCAAGGGCTGGTTCGGTTAATTACGCATTCGGTACTGGAGTGTTGAATGTGGTCAGAGTGTGGTCACATTTAGTTTGGACAAATTTTCAAAACCAACCTATTTACAAATTTAATAGCAGAAAACAACCTATTTCAGATTTAATTGCAAAAACCGACCTGGTTTCAGCACTGGAGCTGAAACCAGGTCGGTTTTTGAAAATTTTTATCCGAAACTTCACGGGAGTTGAACTCCCGTGAAGTTTCGTAGTTCAAATTTTTTTTTTTTGTACTGGGAAACTTCACGGGAGTTCAACTCCCGTGAAGTTTCGAAAGTTTTTTCACAAAAACCGACCTGGTTTCAGCGCCAAGGCTGAAACCAGGTCGGTTTTTGCAATTAAATCTGAAGTGGGTTGTTTTCTGTGATTAAATTTGTAAATAGGTTGGTTTTGAAAATTTGTCCCATTTAGTTTTGGTGTGAGCTATTTCGTTACATTTTTACTCCATCAATGTTCTACACTCTTCCCTTCTACGTTCTTTTTCCAATTCTTTTTTCCTTTTGAAATTCATTTTACTACATTTTTTTGTTAGGGAGTACCACTCTCGTCCCCCGATAAGTTAATTTTGTTCTTAAGTTATATGTTTTTTCAATATATTAGAATTGGAGAAAATTTTAAAATAGACCGTGTTTAAAAAATCGACTGCTTTTTTATCATGTCAATGAAGTTAATTAAAATTTGATGATTTGTAAAATTTTATTTTTTTAAAACACAAAGGAGCTAGTAGTCCTATTTAATTAGATGCAAATAGTTGTTTTAATTAAAAGTTAGTTTAAGGATATCTCATAAAAAATTCAAAGGACTCGCCACCCATTTCCCTTGTGGGTAGGGGTGGAAATGAACCAAATAATTAACAAATAGTTCGATAATTGTTCGAGTAAGTATTCGGTCGTATTCGATTCGTTAGTTCATTTACCGCTAAACTAATATTTTTTAGTATTCGAGTTTACTAACGAATTGAATTTAACTAGATGTATATTCGATTCGTTTGTCTATCAAATATTTGTTTAAAATTTGATCACTTGTTATTTGTATTATTGCACATATAATGTCATATTTTTAACCCACTTACCATTTCTACTTAAGTTTTATGTACTAATTTTAAGACTTAAATAATCTTAAATCTGTTTTCTAATGAAAATTTTGAATTTAAAATATATATACATCATATAATATAAATGAATAATTGTTATTTATTAACTTAAATACTATCTAAAAATCAAGTTCTTTAGCAAAATAAATATACTTTGATATTCGATAAATATTCGTGAATATTCATGAATATGTATCAAATACCAAGTATTCAAGTTAGAATTCGAAAAACTCCATATATGAATATTAGAGTCCGCATTCGAATTCGATAATTTTAAACAAATACAAATACGAACACCTAAGTATTCGATTCGATTCGATCCGATCGTTTACCACCTCTACTTGTGGGGCACATACACACAACCATTTAGAAGACATACTGATCAATCCCTTGCCCACTAAACTTATTGCTCCATCACATACACGGGATGGTTCCCCTGTAATTAGGGAAATTAGGGAAGACAACTAATCACACGAGATTATAAGTGCCGTATATTTCTGATCATTTAATTTCCCAAAATCGATTGGCTTCTAATCAAAACGTGGCTAAAATTGGTCGATTTTGCTAATTAAAATTTGAAAATGGTCTGTTTTAAAAATTTTGCCCTCAGATTTTCATAGTATAAGATAGTGTATGAAAATTTTCATGTTATAAGCCGTTCCTAAGGTTAGGAACTTTTATTTTTCGTTTGTGAGATGTTACTCTCTGAATAAGGGTGAAAAGATCCTAGAAAAATGTATTCCCCCAGTAATTAGGGCGTCCCCTCTTTAAGCTCATCATACCTAACAATTCCAATTTCTATGCAACAGCACTTTCATCTCAACATCACACTAAATTGAACCTATACTTTAGGTGGAATATAATTCTTTACAGTATATTGATATCACATAGCCATCTCAGAGAACTAATCGAAAATGGTTTTTAAAAGCATTTATTCTCCTCTCTGAAGTAATCATCAACTACGGATACTCATACATGCTCAACAAATCAACCAACTGAAAGTAAGCCGGAAACAGCAACTGAAATTTGACCCAGCAAGCCACCTGATTATCCTCGAGATCAATATCTGACCACCAAGCCAATAGTCATGAGATTAAAAGTTAAAAACACGACGAATAATGCTAAGAACAAGTTTGTAGAGGCAAATTTTGCTTCAATAATCCTTCCTGGGATTAACAATTCGACCTCCGGTACAGAATTTGAACGGCACAATTGCATTTATTTCCTCATAAACAATGGTAATACAGGATAACGTTTCATGTACACGCTAGAAGATTTTATGAATACCGATAATACATGATACTGTTTCATGCCTACACTAACACAAAAAAGGAATTTATTGAGGCACAATCTGCTTACATAATTGTTCAAGGACTAACTCTTTTATCGCCAGCAGGGAAGAATATCATTCAAATGGCATGAATTCCACTTATTTTCATAAGAATACCGATAGCATATGGTATTGTTTATACTCTTATAATAGTATTCAAATGAATGATACATGGACATCAATTGAAAGTCTCAAACCTCTCTTGGGGGCAAAAGTGGTTCTTGATCAGATTTTGATTCACCATCTTCTTGCTTCCATAACTTTTGAGTGAACCCTTGCTGTTGTTGTCTAGATATGGCATCTCTAACACTTGGCAAAGGACCATAAAAGCTCTGCATTTGCTGGAGGCAAGCTTTAACAGCATCATGGACACTAACGAAATACCATCTTTTGCCAATGAGTTCAATGAGCCCGGCCCTCGAGAGAGTGAGCAAAACTTTCTTGTTTGGATTTGAAATAGCAATCTGGTGCATGACGGATAAAGGTAAGTTGATAAAGAAATGTTATCATGTCGAAAGATTGAAGACTGATGCATATTAACCTGTATCTCACGAGATTTGTATTCTTGATGCAAATCCTTGAGAGCTTGGACAGCACTGCAGTCTATATAAGGAACAGCTGCCGCATCACCAAGTACAGATTAAATTCAAAGGATCACACCGTTGCATATTTGATGACTGCTTATTTAATGTTAATCAAATTATGGTTTTAACTGGAGCCAAGTGCTGACTTCATGAAAGCAACACAAAGTTGATACAATCTATATGGTTTGAGAAGTCACGAATGCGAAAATCCTACTTAAGTAAAGTTTGGGACATCTTATTAAAATGTTCAGCGAAGCAATTCAATATTGATGCGTAAAAAAGGATATGTTTGAAGAATTATAATTAGAAGGGGAAGAGTCAATACTGGGACATGCAAGAAACTAAACAAAACTCACGTGCCATCTCAATGATAACAAAATAAATTCTTTCAGCTTCTTCCCCATGATTTGTGGTTCCTGAGACAATGAGTTCGTACTCTCGCAGCCTGCAAGTTTACTCACAGAGTTATCAGAGAGAATTTAATATCTTAGAAGTAAATTTTTTTTTTGTGTGTGCTACTCAGTCAGTTGGTGAAAGATCTGGAATTATGGGTCAAAATAACAAAAAGCTTTCACCTGTCCTTGATGTAACTGATATTTGCAAAATAAATAGGGGCATCAATTCGAACGACAACAATTCCAGTGTATACATATGCTTCAGGGTACTGTTCAATGTTTCTATACACAGTAGTTCCAGGAAGCCGACCAAGAACAGCTGCAACAATAACCAATAAAGGAACCTGTGTTAACTGAATTTGCTAAAAAGTTGATTATGGAAAGAGGCGAAAACACACAAATTGATAAATCCAAGCTTTTGACGTTGGAAATCTTTCCAGGGTGTTAGATATATTGTTATACTTAAGGCTAATTGAAAACCACAACTGAAATTTTGTATTAGAATGCAAATCTGACATCATACATTTTTGAAGAGTAAAATATAGAATATGAAAAGTGTGTCTTGTGAATTATCATCTTCTAAGTCAGTTCTGCAGGAATATTGGACCACCACAACCATCTCCTGTATTATATATTTGAACACCAAGTTCTAATATATAAAAAGATCAATTTGGCAACAATTGGAGAAAGTGACATATAAGTTCAATACTGTGATACTAAATTTGTAGACAGACGGACTTCTTGCTGCACAATCAATTGATTTTCAAGCCAAAAAATTTACTCACCAATATATGGGTTTGCAGATTCATGAATGACAAATGCAAGGGAAGCGCTAACCTGGAAAGCAAGTTAGAATCAGAACTACATGTGGATAACCTTGTGATTCACTGAAATCATTTAAGTTGCTCCTGTAAACTTATAGTTGACTATTAACATTTAAGCCATTAAAAATTCTATCATAAATATGAAGGCCTTGTAAGTATAACCAGCAAACCTGATCTCCGGCATCCCAATAGTCAGAAGCTAAAAAAATTAAGTAGCATAAGGTGTGCACACAGGACTTGAGATAATGGAGCGGTTGCGTATGTCGAAAAGATGATAAAATTGCTTAGAATAAATCCAAATCTAAGTACAATAAAGGTGTATACATACAAGCACGAGCTTCAATCAGAGAATGGGAATGGTCAAAAAAAGCACTAAAAGGAGAATAAAGAGATAAAATTGTGAAATCAATAAGAATAAACTAACCTTATTATGCAAATAAAATTATAAAAATAAGCACCTAATACCCATAAGATTAGTGTCAGATTATTTTGGACTAAAAGGGGCTGTCCAATAAATAGAAAACCCCTGAAGGAAACAACCACATATAGACACACAAATATTTAAAATCAAATACAACCACGTATAGGTACTTACACCAACAAGGACACCAATCTCAATGCCGAGGAATAATGTTGTGATGCAAGTGATGATCCAGAGAAGAAAATCTTTCTTGTCTACGCGCCACAAAAACGAGGCTTCCTCATAATCAACCTACAAATGACATATATCCTGATAAGCCTATAATATGTAGGATAGTGTGTAAGGAAAAACACATCTATCTGATGAATGAGTTGATAAAGACTTCTTTTTTCACGTTGATGCATTACTCGAGACACGGTTGTTTTCTACTTCCAAGTTTGCATGCAATAGCTTGAGTTAGAAACTTGATTAAATTGATTCGGTATCACAACAAGAAGCTTATACAGAAATCGGCGTGCGGCTCAAAAATATCAGAAAAAGATGAAGCCAGGTAACAGTAGCAACATAGGAGAAGCAAAAAGGCCATGAATCTAACCTGGAAATTTTGCATTACTAATTATTTACCATTCTGGATGTCACGTTATCTACAAGGTTTCAACCCTAAACATGTAGAAACATTTAGCTACATGAGGTTTTACATGTCATTTTTAAATTATATGCAACAGATAAATGTTGAAATAGTAGCAAGCAAGTCTACGGCAAAATGGATTGGCCTCTGATTCAAGCACAGACAAGTACTCAACTGTGTAGATAAATAAGAGGTTTTTATGTACATGAATTAATATAAAAAATATTATTGTACTACAAAATGTGAAGGTACTAGTCAGGGAATTATTTAACCCTTCAGGAAGTGTTGCTCGTAAAAAATACAGAAAAGGGTCTACAGGATCACTTTGAACATAGTAAATATATTACTGACGAGAAAATATCTAAAAGTTAAAAAATTGAAATGAGTACAGGAGTAATAATAGCTAATAACATAAACATGACTGCCGGGTGACGACAAAGAGTAAATAAGAAACCAGAAATTAAACATGGGTCAAACCCAACCTTAAACGTAAAATCATTTTCCTGACATATTATAGATACAATTCTAGAAAAATTGCATAGGGACAACTGGTCAGAAACTTACAAGACTCATTCCAACTGAAATCACAATGGCAGCCAGCGCACACTGAAACATTTGAAAATGAAACCAAGTGAGTAAGACTATTCAAGGTTGCTGCATAGCCTGAAATATGAAAATAACATACTAAGCCTTCAAGAGTGGGAAGAAGATGAAGTAGAAGGCAGGAGAATGGAAATTACTTAAACCTATCATTGTCAGGAAAGAGCACTGACTCCTTATTAGAGCGAAACCACTCTGATGCTGAAATGAATGATACCTCAAATTTGACATATAATTTAAAGGAGAATATCCTCAGGTTTGTACAAGAATAAAATGTGACATATTCACCAAAGTATATATGGTTAGTTCCCGCTATCTCGACTAACTTTTGTAATCTCTCTTTCAACATGCATATGATTTTTTTAGCCTTTTCCTATTCTTGTTACATTGGCTAAAATTTTCAGTTAAATTTGTGTTATTCGTCAGATGCCAAAACTTTTATATTATAGAAGTCCAAGAGTTTGAGAGATGAGAAGTCAAAAACTATTAATCATGCTATCCATTTCTTTGTGTTTTTCCTTTTATTTATTTAGTTGTCATTCACGGAGTAAAGGAATCCCTTGCCTATTGACGCTGCAAAATAATACCTGGGGTATATCTCTAAACATCGGCGTTAAGAAATAAAGAGCACATCCCATTGTGCACCCCGTCATAATTCCAGATAACCCAGTCTTGGCCCCACTCTCATGATTTACAGCAGACCTAGAAAACGAACCTGCATAACAGTCTTTTTAAGTTACCAGTATTTATAATGTAATGCAGTTCCAATCATATAGAATAAATAATCCTAAATAGTGATCCAAGCCAATAAACCACAAATTGATTATCATTTCTTTAAGCTTGCAGCAGTTCACCATATTTTTACCTGTTGCTGGATATGCAGAGAAGAATGAGCCAAAGATGTTTGCCATGCCAAGGCCAAATAACTGCAATATGAATATCATGAGGGTTATATTTAAAAATAAATCACCTTTATGTTGATCTAGCTTTCCATTAAGAACTTTTCTTGCTATATTACAATGAAACTTTAACGATCAATAAAACATATCCAATCCGAAGAAAGATATTTCAGGGAGATTGTATATGACTATTTAGCGCCATTGTTTCAGCAATATATTTTTGTCTGTTAGAAAACTTAGTAATGCAGTCGTGTTCATTCACCCAGTACAAGAGTGACCAAATATTTTTCATAAATCTGTAATTTATTAAAACTTTTATTCAATAATATCCTGTTGACGGAGTTTCCTTTTAATTTTTTAAAGTTTATATCAGCTAATACAGTGAAAATTTACAAATCCTTACTTCAACGGTATCAACATAGCAACTGAAAGAACACAGTCACCTATTGTGAAAGCTTTCAAACTTTTACCTCTTGATTTGAGTCCAATTCATACCCATTTTTTGCGGCCAAAGCTTTGGCAATCCCCACAGATTCCTAAAACAAAATGTATGGAAAATTACATATACATAACAAGCAAAAAAGAAAAAGGAAGGGAACACAATCATTAGAAAGTTTAATTATACCAAAATAGCCACACCGGTAATGACAATTGCAGTTGATATCAGATGTCGTGCGTGCTGAAATTCTCTAGGAATGTGGAACTTTGGAAGGCCTTGAGGAATTTCACCCACCTAATCACAGAAATCCAAATATTTTCAAGCATGCTTTTCTGGTAACAATACCGCACATTAAGTTACTGAATTACATGCATAATTAACATAAATATACATAAAGAGAGACATTTGATGGAAAGCTTAAAATAAGAAACATGCTATTCATGCGATTTGATTCTTCTATAGTGAATATAACCATTAAAAATGATACAACATCAAACAATCAAAGCCAAGTCTTATGACACTTTTCGTGTCTTAGAACTTGCATAAAATTTTCGTGTTTGATAAGTTCTGACTAGGGGTGCTAATGACGCAAATAGGGTGGGTTTAGGTCTAACGCAACGCCAAACAGGGTGGGTTTAGGTCTAACGCAACCCAACCAGATCTCATCATGGTTCCACCTGAGCTCAAGCTCATTACAACTAGGAAAAGTTGCTCTAACCAAGCAAGCCAAGCTAATTCTCAGGTCTTAGGTTGCTTCTGGTAGGACTAGGAAGTAGTTGGGTTTGGTTCAGTCAACCGACACCCAGCCCATCCTCTGTTTATGTTCTGTTCAGATGCCTTGAGTGGGCCTAAACTGTCCCAATTTACAGGCCCAACGCCGACAAAACGTAATCACCTCAGAATTTTTGAAATAAAACCTGTATGTTCCCTATAATATTTTTCTAAATAATTTACCATCAACTGTTTGCAGACTGAACAATAAAGGCTTACTAGTATGTAGGACTAACATCTTGAACATGCCATCAAGTTACTAAACATCTTAATTATGTTTATATGAGAAATATGTGTTACTAAATCAAGTGAAAAACAGACATATAAAGAGCTAGAGTATCATGACCTGTAGTTGTGATGATAATCATTATAGAGATGATATATATAGGAAATTGTCTCACCACAGCTATTGAAGATGGATGAAATATCTTCACAAATGTTGTGCCCAATATCACTGCAGTAAGTGGTCCTGATGCTCGTAGATATCTAAAGTTCTTTTTTGTTCTGCCCTGCAAAATTTTGCTTACAACAATTGTTGTCATAGTTTTTCTAGATAAGATATAAGTTAAAGTTCAAACCATATCCAAGCTATGTGCACTCACCAGGTACTTCGTAAGGAGAATAATTGCGAGAATAGTAGATCCCATTACAAAAGGAGGCCAAGAAAACTGAAACAAAAAAAATTGTATGGTTAACGTTATTGATGTGTTATACAGAATCCCATAACAGGATGACACAATGCATAAGAAATAATATAGGATGAAACATTGTCATAAAGTTTGCTTGTGTACCAATTTCGATCTTGTAGTGAGTTTTTATGCGTTTATCATCTTCAGTCTTGGTTAACATGCCAATAATCTCACAAATTATGTTGTCTACACATGCTAATATCCTCTAAGTGAACACTTTGGAATATGTTAAAATGCTGAAATTACACACACGCACACACATGCATGAAACTGGTTTTCCCAACATTATCCAGCAATCCACTTGCAAAGATAATGAATGTGTCCTGTTTTTCCTAAGCATGGCTTTCAACGTAGAAGCTTTCTTCATACAAAAACTTCAAGCATGCACAAAACAATTAATACAAGCCTTAATGGACTTGAAACTAATACAAACACTAAATATTAGAGCAAGAAATATTAGTCTATATCTAATGGGGTCACAAAAACTGCATAAATGAGAGCAATGACGATCATAATCATATTTGTTAGGTTCGGGTTCTTATCTAATTAAGTACTGGATTCAATGATAGTGTTGTCAAAGAGTCGGTGTGGAATGCAGCCCCACATTGAAACGATCGAAAAGAATAGAGGATTAAAAAGGGGCTAGCTTTTTTGATAAGCAGTGTCCTTGACTATGATGCATCTTAATGTATAAAAGAAAGGTAAAAACTTCATAAATCCAAAGTAAATAGAGAGATGGATAAAAATCAATAATTATTAACTGATGGCAGATTTACTTTGTTAAAATTAAAAAAACTTACATTTTCAGCACCGGCAATTATGCTTTTTGCAAGCGGTACAATCTTGCTGCTCCTTTCTATGTTATATCCTAAAAAGTACTTGGCCTGAGACAATGCAATCACAATGGCTGAAGAAGTAACAAAACCAGAAATTACGGAATGGCTAATGAACCGAAGAAGCCATCCAAGCCTGCACTAGAAGAAGTAAAAAATTCAAAACAAATATTACTTTCATGAAAAAAAAATTATAGACCCAACTTTCCCCCCAAAAAAATGATATTTCAACTGAATCTTGAGGTTTGCAACATCATTTTCGCTTAAAGGAATGCACAAGAATCATTACTTACCTTAAAAGCCCCATTATACATTCCAATGCACCAACCATGAAGGCTAATAATATAGCAAGCTCTGTGTACAACTCATCAGAAGGATCAACAATCCCACTCAAGACATTGGACACCAAGAGAGATACCAAGGTCACAGGACCAATAGCAAGTTGACGGGATGACCCAAATATAGCATATACAAATATCGGAACAAAACCAGAATCTGTATTTAATAATTCACTGACTTAAGAACAATGTTGCTGGAAAAGACAGGCTAAGGAGCATAAGATGACGAAGTATACTCACAAAGCCCATAAATTGGATGAAGCCCAGCAAGCTTCGCGTATGACATTGCCTGATCATTAACACAATCAAGCAGAGAATTTCTTAACATAAAGTTTACATTGTTTGATTTAAGACTAACGGAAGAGGTATATTACAAGAAACCATCTTCATATACCTATTTTTTTACGAAACCCCTCATTTAAAAGGTCCTACAAAAAACCTCTCATTTATAGTCATTAATGAAAACATTAGTCTTGCAATAGAACGTCTGCATGAAAATTGTAGGTCTAAGAATAAAAAAGATGAGCTTTTTGACTATGTCCAAGAACTAATTTTTCTCTATTTTCTGCCTTTCAAGTCCCAAATGATGTGGATTCTAAGTGCAGACGTCTGCATCCAAGTGTAAACGTCTGAATAACAAAGCTCCAATACAAATTTAACTATTTCATTAATGAGTAAAGATAGGAGGTTTTCTGTTGAACTTTTTAGATGAAGGGGTTTCTTGAAAACACGATAGCGGTGGGGCCGCGGGGGGAGGGGGGGGGGGGGGGGTTTCGTCTTGTAATTTAACTAAAGATCTAGCTATGCATTTTCTGATTCGCACCTGAGGGACAAGCATGATGCCCACAGTAATCCCGGCAATGATGTCCACTTGCGTATACTCACTCCATTGATAGGTCCTGATCCACCGTGTGCATGGCAACATCATCTCCATCCACTCCACAGTGGACATTCTGCTGATCTTTGATCGCCACTGCCAGAAGAGATTGGCCGACGAAGGCACTTGATTAGGTTGCATTGCCCGGTGCTCGAGAGCCATTGCCTTCGCCTGCCGGACAGTGGTGCCGATGTCAGAGTCCGGAAGATCAAGATTGCTCGATGTTGCATAAGATATCTCCATCGGGTTATCCATGAGCTCCTGAAGTTTAGCAAGAGACGGTGATTAGAACATAGGCAGAGTTGATGACTTATGTTGATGCTTTCAGAGGCAATGAGTGTTAAGGGTACAGTTTTGGCGCCAAGTGAGGAAGAAGAGAGGTTTAAAAAATGTGAATTCTGCCCAAAATTGTTTGTTTTGTGTTGCTGTTCTGTATTGTGTATGGTACAGCAGATCTTCAATAGGGATTAGGACATGGGATTCCTTCTTGGGTCCATAAGCTCACATATGCCCCCAAAGAAGTACACAGTAATACTTTATTCATCCCAAGTAGAAGAAGTCCCTTCAGTTTCCAAGGCCTTAATCATGGTGGGTACATTTTTGGGTATTCAAGATAAATTTTTTTGTTTGAGACAAAGGCCTGGGACCAAATTTTGATTGAAATGAATATATACGATAATAGAAACATTTATAACTTTATTCTGATAAAAGCCTGTAATAATAGAATTAGCAAGGAAATAATACGCACGGTAAATACAATTAAAAATAATCACAGTACAACAAAAATAAGGCTTTCTATCACAAATTTTCATAAGATAAATCAAATCAGCGCAATTTAATGATGATGTATGTGTGTTTAATGTATTTGGCATAACAGATGAAGTAGATAGGACTAAAGCATGTCTTGGAAAAACACAGATAAACTTTTCCCTAAAATTAATTTTCAGAGGAATTGTAAGGAAAAAAGTGAGTTACAAATATAAATGCCAATTCACATAATACTATATAATTTAGTTCAAAGGAAACAAATCTGTGATATAAAAATGCGAATACCAATTTATAAACTATAGTATATATCGCTTCTTCAAAAAAAAATTGTAACAAAGCATCATGAATCTAAATTTGGTGGGGGTACTCAACGCTAGCATGAGGATCTCATAATAACAAGATAATTTGTTTAGTATATATACTTTCATGGTTCAAGTTGCAGCCAAAGCAGATAATAGTCTTCTGAAAGAGTATACGCAGTTCGATAAATTTTGAGAAAGTATGCTCAATTAGAACCCTACAAGATCGTATCATTCTTGCAGAATCCCCACTTTTATCTTAAATTTTCAAGAAGATCTGGTAAATACCATATAATATAAAGATTAAGAGTTTCCTTAATAGTTCATGGTGATATAATGAAATAATCAATATTATTTTTAAGCAGATGCGGTAATCGGGGCATCAATCTAGAATTCGAGCACGATGTTGCTAAGGTGCCACACTGCTTTCCGATTAGGGAAGCCATTATGAGAAGTACTACTCAATTTGTGTGCTTCTATGAACTTTCCTTCTTCCCACTAGTCCAAATCTTCCAAGCACACTGCATATCTCATTAGTAAGTACTAAAATACTATACGATTCCAAACTAACCTCCATAAAGGAGAATAAGGTATCATTTCTTTGCTCCAGAATTGCGTCATTCAACGCTAGCAATTAGTGCATGGTGCTGAAAAAATGCCTGCTCACATGGAACATGCTTCTGAATCATGTGAAAAATATCAGCAGTCAAAAGAAGTAAATTGTAAACGGTACTCCAAAATATCATCAGCGAGCAATTTGAAACTACTCTATTAACACAAAAATGGTCACTTTCCCAAAGTCTGAAGTCTAAGATAAGGTTGCCAATCATGAACCAGTAAAAAAGGTCACCAAAAAACAGAACTTCATCCATGCACCAAACAAAATCCTGAAGAAATATTGAGAATTGGCAGATATTTTTATATCCGAATATCAACTTCTCCTTATATGTTACTAACTAGCCTGAAAATGAACCACGTGAAGCTAAAGGATTGAACTCAACTCTTAATTAAGTGAATTGACTAGTAAAGATACATCAATTATCTCAATCATTATGGACCCCACCTGAAAATAAACACTAAGCATATATATTAAGTCACTATCAGATAAGCAACAACCCCATATAACCAAAAGTCCAACAATACTTACCTGCACAACTTTTTCCTCATTATATATTGCTAATATCCCACCAAAGTAGTTGATCCTCTTGAAAACAAAACACATGATCTCAATTCTCAACCCTCCTATAACTAACATATACAGTTACACCTAATGAGACCACAAACTCAAAAATACCAATATCCATATCTATATAACGTTTTCATAGTAAGTTTTTCAGACAAAATGAATCGTGGACCTTCGCCTCTGATCCCTGTGATACTAGTCGGAGCTCTCTCATTGCTGACATTTGGTCCTCAGCTTTTAGAAGGATGGTCCCTTATCTCCGATCTTCAAGAGTCCTGGCTCGTGCCTGTGTTCATACTTCCAATCACACTTGTCTTCTTGATATTCTTAGTGAAAGAAATAATTGTTGTTCTGTTCGTACTTACACTGGTAGCTTTTGTGTTCAGAGAAGCACTGCTCTTGCCTCTCATGATGGTTTTAGTTATCGTGCTCCTCAGTGTGTATTTTTCGACCCACAGCAGATATTTGAGGTACTGTGTGAAAGATGATAATGCAGAAGGGTGGTTTGGGCTTGGGGGGTTTATGCTTGTAATGGTGTTTCTTATAGCAAGTAGTTTGTTTTCTGAGGAGTGCTATTGGTGGATCTCTTTGATGCTTGTATTTCCATTTGTGTACTTCTTTAGTGTGAGTTAATTGATTTGTGTGGAGTTCTGTGGATGTTGTAGTAGTGTCCATAGATTCATCTAATACATTTGGCTTGTGGGCAGCTAGTTTTGAAGGTAACTATGATATATAAAATTTCTTTATATGGTTGCATAACACATTAAAAGAAATGGCCATGTGTTGAGAAAAAAGATTAAAGGTCTAGGTTGGATAGGGTAGACGCGTGCTTCAAAATATAACCGGAGCGCATGAAGATTACCTGGTGTTGCTGCATTTAACTGGAGCATGAATGAAGAGTACCATATTGAAAGCTGTCATTCCTGCACCACCCATTCGTTTCGTTCCAGCTACATCTCCATATGTACCTAAACCCAGAAAAGCCTTGGCATATAAAGCTTAAGAGCAACTGATATCCTTAAGGACACAGCTAACATTTGGAAGAGGTAGTGTTCATTAATGTCCTATATGCAGACATAAAAATAGCTAGATTCTAAGCGTTTTGTTATCACACTTCTATCCACCAGCCCTCTGCTCCTACCTCTACAACACAGATGGTACATTTATCCTCTGAGTGAATTCATTGGATTCAAGGAAAGCATCTACTCTATCTCGTTGTCTATGGTGAACACTAGCTACATATTTGGCTAGTGATATGTGTGGAGTCAAGAATGACAATACTGTAGTTGATGGAGGAACAAAGAGTAGAGATGGAGGTAAAACCTGCCAGCACCAACAGCTTTGTAGACTCTGTTTTCATTGTTGTAAGAGTTGGACTAAAACCTGCCTATGCTTTCTCTTGAAATACCTACCTTAAATGCTTGGTAGTCACTGTTATTGAAAAATTAAAAGATGATGTTAAAATTAATAAAGATAAGAGTCCCAAGATAGGAATAGAGGTTTCAATCATAAAAAGGCATTGGTTAGACATGATGGAAAATTATTGTGTCTACAGTAAACACTTGCCCGCTACAGTAATCACTAAATGCAGACCCACTAAATATTGTTGTAGCAATACTGTAGCAATAGTGCACACCTACCACAAACTCATCTATATATAGCTCTCCTTGGCGTTAAGTTCTGATCATCACAGTGTCTCCAATTAAGAGTGAAAAGAAAAGAGAGAGGGAGAGAGAAAGAGAGAAAATTAGAGAGAGTCTCTCCTTGAGAAGAGAGATTGTAACTCCTAAATGTTTACTCCTTGCTCATGGTCTTTACCCCAATTCATTTAGGGAATTTTTAACGTAAATTTGTGTATTCATTTTATTACTTCTGCTCTACTATTCACTGGGACATTGCTCTATTGGGCCCTCGGGTTTGTCCCAACAAGTAGTATCAGAACATTAAATTTGAAGAAAGAATTGGGTTTTTAGGTTAGTTCTCATTGATAGAATAACTTGGCTTATATAGCCTTACTCCCACATTTACACAAAACTCCTCTAATATCCATCAATTACATTATCTTTTCAACACTCCTCTTCAAGATGAGCGGAAGATATCTATTAAGCCCATCTTGTCACATTCTCTAGCTAGATCTACTGAGCTAAGCCCTTTAGTCAAACAGTCTACAGCCTGCTCCTTAGTTGAAACATGGCATAACTCCAGTAACCCATTATTCAGCTTCTCCTTGATGAAGAATCTATCAATCTCAATGTGCTTAGTTCTGTCATGCTGAACTGGGTTGTTGGCGATGCTGATAGCTGACTTGTTATCGTACCACAAACTCATCTTGACCCCTTGGTCAAGGTTCAGCTCCATCAGCATGTTCTTCAGCCACATTAACTCCGTAACCCCCAAGGCCATGGCTCTGTACTCTGCTTCAGCTGTTGATCTCGCCACCACAGATTGCTTCTTGCTTTTCCAGGAGACTAAGTTACCTCCTACAAATATGTAATACCCTGAGGTAGACCTCTGATCATCTCCGTAACTAACCCAATCTGAGTCACAGTAGCCCTCAATGTTCACATGGCCACTCCTCCTGAATCTTAGTCCTTTGCCAGGGGCACCCTTTAGATACCTCAGTATCTGATATACTGCATCCATATGATCCTTCCTCGGGTCATGCATATAGGGCTCACCATGCTTACCGCAAATGAGATGTCTGGGCATGTGTGACTCAGGTAGATCAACCTACCCACCAATCTTTGATATCTCTCACGATTAACAGGTTCTCCTGCCTCAGCACTCAGCCTGAAACTCTGATCAATCGGTGTAGCAGCAAGCTTGCACCCCAACATCCTCGTTTTTGCAAGAAGATCCAGTGCATTCCTCTAGGAGAGAACAATCCCCTTAGGTCCATAAGCTATCTCTATCCCAAGAAAGTATCGAAGCTGACCCAGATCCTTCACTTCGAATTCTTTGCTCAATCTTACCTTGATCTGAGCTAATGCGAATAGAAACCCTAACTCTTATTATGAGATCTTTTGGGCTTATATAGGCCCCTACACAACTTATAAATAAATCCCTACATATTATTAATATGTCAACACTCCTCCTCAAGGTGGGCGAAAGATATCCACTAAGCCCATCTTGTCACATCCTCTAATCATATCTAATGAGCTAAGTCCTTTAGTCAGACAATCTGCTGTCTGGTCCTTAGTTGAAACATGACTTAGTTCCAGTAGTCCACTGTCCAACTTCTCTTTGATGAAGAACCTATCGATCTCGATGTGTTTGGTTCTATCATGCTGCACTGGATTGTTGGCGATACTGATAGCTGACTTGTTATCATACCACAAGTTCATCTCAGCTCCTTGATCCAGCTTCAGCTCCACCAGCATACTCTTCAACCATAGCAACTCGGCAACTCCTAAGGCCATAGCTCTATACTCTGCCTCAGCTGTTGATCTCGCCACCACTGACTGCTTCTTGCTCTTCCACGAGACTAAGTTGCCTCCTATAAAGATGCAGTATCCTGAGGTGGACCTCCTGTCATCAGCATAACTAGCCCAATCAGAGTCGCAGTAACCCTCAATACTCACATGTCCATTCTTTCTGAATATCGGTCCTTTTCCGGGGGCACTCTTTAAATATCTCAGAATCTGGTACACAGCGTCCATATGACCCTTCCTCGGATCATGCATGTAGCGGCTCACCACGCTCACTACAAAAGAGATATCAGGACGTGTGTGACTCAGATAGATCAACCTGCCCACCAGCCTTTAGTATCTGTCACGATCAACTGGTTCTCCAGCTTCAGCACCCAGCTTAAACTTCTGATCGATCGGTGTAGTTGCAGGTTTGTACCCTAACATCCATGTCTCTTTGAGAAGATCTAGTGCATGTTTTCTCTGGGATAGGACGATCCCCTCCGCTCCACGAGCTATCTCTATACCAAGAAAGTATCGAAGCAAGCCAAGATCTTTCACCTCGAATTCCTTACCCAGTCTCACTTTGAGTTGGATCTTTCACCTCGAATTCCTTACCCAGTCTCACTTTGAGTTGGGCAATCTCCTTCTCATCATCCCCTGTAATAATCATATCATCCACATATACTGTAAGCATGGTGATGTGACATTCACTCCGTCGAAAGAACACGGTATGATCGGTGTTAATCTGCTGGTGTCCCATACCTATCATAGCCCGCCTAAATCTATCGAACCAAGCACGGGGAGATTGCTTCAGGCCATATAGAGACTTCTTCAATCTACAGACCTTACCCACTGTCTGATCTGTGTCGAATCCTGGCAGAATTTTCATGTATACCTCTTCCACTAGATCTCCATGAAGAAATGCATTCTTCACATCTAATTGGTGTAGCTTCCATCCACCATTTACTGCTAGAGAGATCAAGGTCCGAACAGTGCTCATCTTCGCCACTGGTGCAAAAGTCTCATCATAATCGATGTCATATGTCTGACTATATCCTTTTGCCACCAGACGAGCTTTGTAGCGCTCAACATGTCCGTCTGGATTCTGCTTCACAGTGAAGATCCACTTGTATCCAACTGCTCTCTTCCTTTTTGATAGTTTTACTAACTCCCAAGTGCGGTTCTTCTCAAGGGCCCCTAGCTCTTCGTGCATAGCAGCTTTCCATTTTTGGTCCTTCTTTGTAACATGCCAATTGTTAGGTATAATAACAGAATCCAGTGATGCAATGAATGCTTCATGTATAAGGTGGATGTTAGAGTATGATACAAACTGGGTAAGATCCCAATCATATCTATCGGGAGGATTTTTCGTATTACTGCGAGTAGTCCTCCGTACAGATATTGGTGTGGGAGGAGTAGGAAGAGGAATGGTATCACCTTGAGAGGAATCTGGTGGTGGTGATGGTGTCTCAGGAGTCGGGGCAGGCGTTGGCAAGGGACTTGGCACCAGTGGCACTGTAGGTACTGTTCCCACAATTTGTTTCCCCTTCTTACTATAGGTAAGTAGCTCTCCCTGAACCGTGGGCCTAACACCTCTTGTCTCATTCTTCTCTTCTTCTTCACTCTCCTGCTCCTCAACTAATTCTTCTTCCCAAGGAATCGTTATAGAAATTGATTTCTCTGATCTCTCACCATTCTCAGACATTGATTTCTCCACATTCACCAATCTCTCACCATTCTCCTCCTCTCGCCTCATACTTCCAGTATTAGGCGAGTTACCAACGGATGAAGTTATCTTTCGGGTGTAATATGGCTCGAGTTCTCGAAAGTGCACATCCATGCTCACAAACAACATTTTCTCCACCGGGCTCCAGCAAACATATCCCTTCTGAGTAGCAGAATATCCCACAAAGATGCATTTCACCGCTCTAGGAGCAAGCTTCCCGACGGATGGCCTGTTGTCCTTCACAAAGCACACACAGCCAAACACCTTGAGTGGAAGAAGCCCACCATTATCCCCCTTCAACGACTCACACGAAGACTTCCAATCCAGCACTCTCGAGGGCATTCTATTGATTAGTGGTGCTGCGGTCAACACTGCTTGCCCCCATAATATTTCTGAGACATTCATGGAGATCATCATACTTCTAGCAACCTCTAAAAGATGTCTATTCTTTCTTTCCGCTACTCTATTTTGAGCTGGTGTGTATGGACACGTAGTCTGGTGTTGTATTCCCTGAGCTGACAAGTATTCCCCAAACGCTTTGTTAGTATACTCTGTCTCATTATCAGATCTCAATACCTTCACCACAGCGCCGTATTGAGTCTGAGCATACCTATGAAAGTTTTGAAAGCAACCAAACACTTCACTCTTATTTTTCATCAGGTACAACCAAGAAACGCAGGAGAAACAATCAATAAAGGTAACAAAATACTTGTATCCATTCATAAAACTTATGGAACAAGGCCCCCAAACATCTGAATGTATCAGGTCGAATGCACGAGAACTCCTATGACTAGGGGTGTGCAACAGTCGGTTCGGTTCGGTTTTTTCCAAA